GTGATGCGGCAACAGCTGGAGGAGCAGCTGAATGCCCTGCAACGCATGCTGCAGCAGAACGAACAGGAGCTCAAGAAACGTGATACGCTGCTTCACAATAAAAATCTGGAGCTGCAAACACTATCGCGTTCACTGCCGCGTTCCGCGTCCAGTGGCGATGGTTCGCTGGTGAATGGCAGCCTGCTGACGGGCTCAGCAACAGGCACAGTTTCACCACCGCCTCCACCACCGCCACCCATGCCAGCAACAACGGCTCCGCCGCCACCGCCACCACCAGCGCCACCTGCACCTCCACCGCCGCCCATGATGCCGGGCCTGAGTCCGCTGGGCAGTCCGAATGGTAGCGTGACGTCCACAGCTCCCTCGCCGCCACATGCGCCGCCCACGCTGAGCTCCTTCCAGCCGCCGCCGCCACCAGTGGCAGGCTTCATGCCAGCTCCAGATGGTGCTATGACCATCAAGCGCAAGGTGCCCACCAAATACAAGCTGCCCACGCTTAACTGGATAGCGCTCAAGCCGAACCAGGTGAGGCATGGTATATTTGATTATTTTGATCTATTATCTAATCTCTCGACTACCTTTTTGCAACAGGTTCGCGGCACCATATTTAATGAGCTGGACGATGAGAAGATTTTCAAGCAAATCGACTTTAACGAATTCGAAGAGCGCTTCAAGATCGGCATCGGCGGTGGTCTGCACAATGGTAGCAATGGCAGCGAGGTGGACGGCGCCCTGTCCACCTATCCCAGTAAACGTTTCAAGAAGCCTGATAATGTCTCCCTGCTGGAGCACACGAGGTTAAGAAACATAGGTAAAATAAACAAATCAGAAATATACCAACCATTTCCCTTTTTATAATATATATTTGTTTTGCTTTCAGCAATCTCTCGTCGTAAATTGGGCATGCCCATTGATGATGTTGTTGCAGCCATACATAGTTTGGATTTAAAGAAGCTATCGCTGGAGAATGTGGAGCTGCTGCAAAAGATGGTGCCCACCGACGCGGAGGTTAAGGCCTACAAGGAGTACATAATTGAGCGCAAGGATCAACAGCTACTCACCGAGGAGGACAAATTCATGTTGCAATTGTCACGCGTTGAACGCATCTCCTCCAAGCTAGCCATTATGAACTACATGGGCAACTTTGTCGATAGTGTGCATCTCATTAGCCCGGTTAGTATAAAATGGATGAGTATATAACATCGATAGAATCGATTTAATGCTTCTCTCATTGCCAATTTTCATTTACAGCAAGTTCAATCGATTGCCAGTGCCTCCAACTCGCTTAAACAGTCGCGCAAATTCAAAGCTGTGCTGGAAATTGTGTTGGCGTTTGGCAACTATCTGAATAGCAACAAGCGTGGTCCGGCCTACGGCTTTAAGCTGCAGTCGCTGGACACTCTGATTGACACTAAGTCAACGGACAAGCGCTCCTCGTTGTTGCACTACATTGTGGCCACGATTCGAGCCAAATTTCCAGAGCTATTGAGCTTTGAGTGCGAACTGTACGGCACCGATAAGGCGGCATCTGTGGCATTGGAGAATGTTGTGGCCGATGTCCAGGAGCTGGATAAGGGCATGGAGCTGGTGCGTAAGGAAGCCGAGTTGCGTGTTAAGGGCACGCAAACACACATATTGCGGGATTTCTTAAACAACAGCGAAGACAAACTAAAGAAGATTAAAAGCGATCTGCGATTGGCGCAGGATGCGTTCAAAGAGTGCGTCGAATACTTTGGGGACTCCTCACGCAATGCGGATGCAGCGGCATTCTTTGCATTGATTGTGCGCTTTACGCGCGCCTTTAAAGTAAGCACAACTTGGCTAATTTTGCTGGAATTCAATAAAAATGTAAAAACCATTTAATTTCAGCAACTCGACCAGGAGAACGAACAGCGCCGTCGGCTTGAGCAGGCGGCTGCTTTGGCGGCATCGAAGAAGGAAAGTGATCAGGTCTTGCTGCGCAACAAGTTCAATCAGAAAAAGCAACAGGTGAGTGGACGGCTGACTGGAAGCTTATCAGTCAACAAGACGGCCAACTCCTTCAAGTTTGTGTCATTCATTTGATTGATTCTGTTCTGTTCTGGAAATGTAACCTGTTATGCTTTTGATTTATGCAGCAAATACATTGCCTGCTTGACTTTGCCAAGCAGCATAGCACTGTGGAAATGTCTCCCTAACTGCATACAATACTACTATGTATAATCCCCGCTCCCCAAGGCAAACTCAACCCTAGCACGTACTGGTTATTTGGCTAACACACATTCTAGTAAAACACAAATTAGGCGGGGAGGCTGCCGGGTGTGGTTCGAATTTGGGCCAGCAACCTAAACCTAACCCCAAGCAACCTACCACCACCAATATCATCACCACAACCACCACCACCACCAATACAACCAACACCATCCACTAGAATCTAGTCGAATACTTTGGGGCAGCATGTGACGGAAGTTGTTTGTGTTTATATTCTAGTGTAAGTCGCTTGGCTTGTGTGTAACTGTCCCTAACTATTTGACGGTCCCCCATGCTAATCCCTAACGCCTTATACATGCCATATCGCTGTCTTCTAATCCAATTCACCTGTGATCTCACTTTTCGACAAATGTATACCAAATAAATGTATGTGCGTGTGTGTGTATATATATATTAAATACTTAAAGTGAAGGAACATTTCTATGTTTGCATTTAACATCTCCTTAATTTAATATAACCCTCGAAAACTCACTAACCTGTCACCTAATTGTAAAACATATACTCTAAAAAGATGAATTGGTAACTCAATCCATGCTATGCTTATTTGGCCACTTTCGGTGCTGGTTAATATCTAACTCTTCTCTTTTGTTTTCAATGCACGTTGTCAATCAGTTGCCTACAACTTGCGCACTCTCCTTGCAGGATGCCGTCATCAATGAGCTGAAGAGCAAAACGCATTCGGTGCGGGAAAAGAAGCTGCTGCAGCAGGACGAGGTCTACAATGGAGCGCTGGAGGACATACTTCTGGGCCTCAAAAGTGAGCCGTATCGAAGGGCGGACGCAGTCAGGCGTTCCCAACGCCGACGCATTGACAATAATCGCTTGTCGCGCACGATGGAGGAAATGGACTGCTAGGCTGGCTGCCTGGCTTGGCTAGGGCATGGCAGGGCAGGGCAAAGGCAAAAATCAAAATTCAAAAGCGATACGAGAAACGAATATGTAAACGTCTTAGATAAAGAAACTGCAATATGTGATTGGGCGATTAAATTGTTTGGATACACATATAAATACACACTTACACGCACACACACTCATACACACATTCCCGAACCCCTCTTACCCTTGTGCTATTATTCGAATATATTTTTCGTTGTTATTTTGCATAATATATCTTTAAATATCCAGTACTATTCTGTGAATCTCATTTACTTTTTTGAGATATTCTATTGCCAAAATTTGTAAAATTGCTTTTTATATTTGGTTGCATAGCCTATGAGTTACAAGCTTACAAATTTTTTACAGTGTATTTATCCAATTTTATATGTTAATTTTAAAGTGTGTAAATATATGTATGCATATATATATTTTAATCATTATTTTCGAATAAGTCTTAAACCAAATTGGAATTTTGATTTGCATCCGAGATGGCAAAGAAGTTTTTTAAAACCAACACTATTTTGTATTTAGTTGTATTTTAAACCTTTTTAAACATTTTGTTTAAGTCAAAAATTGTATGATAATAATCATACGATTAATTGTAAATTTCCTATTATATTTCTATTATGTTTTTTATATTAAATTTTGTTGTATTATAAATTACAAGTATATAACACATTTCGCACACAGCTTATACAGAAATGAAAAAAAAACTGCAATAAACAAATAAAAGCGCCAAATATTGCAAGCAACATGAACAATTTTATGCACACGAAATACATTTTTAGAAAGTTTTTTACAAAATATATACAATAGCAACTAAAAGCCATTTTATAACATTTTATGTAGATTTTTTATACAAAGAAAAATATATATACACATGTATATACTACATATATATATATATATATATATATATGAAATTTATGAGCCAATTTATTCTCGCAAGCCACAAAATTATGACGAAGACTGATATGGAGCAGTTTATATTATACATAAAAAACACGCCTACACAAAAATTATTAATACACTTTTAAAAAAAGCTTTGTAACGATCTTATTCGAACAGACGTCTAGTGTCTTTCCATTTATTAAAACTAAAAACTTATCGAATTTAGTTGAACTATAAGCCCATATTTATGTATTACGAGTAATCCATAAATTTATGTAGTGCCATTGGCATGAATGAGATGGTCTTTTTGCATATCTTTTCGTAACATGTTTTTTAATTTGCCAAAAAAAAGGAAATAAAGCGAACATGAACGAAACCTTTAATTAACTAGCACGCTGCATTGTTAGTTTTAAATATTGTGTTATTTAATTTGATAAGAAATCTGCATGGTATACGAAAAACAAATACACGAACAGATGCCGCATTTTTACACATATATATTTACATATACACAGACATATAAAAACATAAACACTAACTATTTTAAATAAATTATTAACCAAATAAACTAGCCAAAAGAAAAATATCGTTTTTGTAAAAGCGCGCAAAGTTTGTAATTTATATTTTAAGAAATTCTCAAGAGCTGGCAGACTTTACTTAAAGCGCGAAATTTAAAATTGGTAAATGCTGCAGAGCTGTCGCTTTTGCTTTATTTGCAGCAACAGATTGTCTTTTGGTGTTGCCAACTTGTTTTTTTTTTCTATTGCGCATCAAGTAATTGCAAAGCGCACTATTCCTTCTATTTCAATTAAATTGTTGGCGCGCTTCTTAAAATTTGTTATATGGCTTAAATATGTGCAGCAACAGTTGGTCTTACAGAGCTGCCAACTTAATATTTTAATAACAGCGCGATAACATTTTACACAGTGCTGTTAATTTAAAACTCTGTTATGTTATGTATCGATAGATTATGGCTCATCTGTAGTAAGCGGCAGTCCCGCCGCGGGAGTTGAACAGCTGGTCGGGAAAATTGAGCTCCTATTGGAAATTTTAGTTTAAATATGATTTAAACACAATTGCACACTAAAATTTCGCGTTTTATTGTGTCACATAGTGCGCGCCAGCTGGGAGAATGTTCAAACGCACATTCAAAGTGGTTTATCGGCCGATTCGTAACAATTTCTTGTTGCTGCCCGATCAGTACTACGGTGTTGTTTCAACTTATGTGAGTGTCCAAAAGTCAACTTAATATGCCATTGGACCGCAGATTAGATAAGTTCCCATGATAATATAATATAATTGTGTATTACTTAGGACACTGGCTGCCTAAGCCTTCAGTATAATGGCCGTGTGCACTATGCCTCTTGGGCGCCACAGGCGGGCGGCGGTGGCATCAAAGACACCGAAATTGGGATCAATGCCAGGGCGGCCAAGGAGCTCGGTGAGTTACTTAATAAGCGGAAGTGCCAATGTGCTGCCAATTGCCAAATTATCGTTTTTATATACGCTACGCTATAACATGCACTCTGCTCTCCGTTTTCTTATAGGTCTGCATGAAAATGATTTGGTCAAGTGCGCCCTCATCGCTGACGTTCTAAATCTGCGCAGCGTGCATGTCACGCCCGTCTCGGCCAAAGATTGGGAGATCATTGTGAGTACTTATCTATATACATACATATAAACGTTTGTATGTGCGTGCGTGTGTGTGTGTGTGTGGCTGCGGCCAGATAAAAATAATTTTATATCGGATTAGCTTTTGGCGCGGGCGTGCTTGCAGTGTTTATTTATGTGCAGCCGCTAGTTTTCGCCGGCATTGCCATTGACCCCAACGGGGCTTTCTTTTATCAGGGATAGACAATCTTAAAGTAACGGTCGACAGTTAAAATACAGTAATTTAATTATTCAGATTAAAGTTGGGTGTGTTCGGACTTTCCTTTTCACTATCAAACTTTTTTATACTGTTATGCTTTTGCCCTTTATAATTATGTATTATTAACAGAGATAACAGCTACCTTGTAACAAAATTATAGAATATAACTCTGGATCTTTGCCCTTTTATTCTATTTCTATTTCAAATGCTCTCATAAAGTCATGCAATGAATAGAGTTATTTACCCAATAGCTGCTTATCATCTTTTCAGCTTCAATGATATGATAAAAACTTATCTTTATAAATTTATGATATTCTTGCAGGAGCTGAGCACGGAGAAAATCTCTGGCAGCGTACTGGAACAAACGCGCATTGTAAACTCATCGCAAATCTTGCTAGTCTGGATTAACAAGTCGATGCAAGTGGCGCTGACAGTGGGTAAATATTTTGGTTATTGCTTGGCGCACCACAACTAACTACAATTTTTAAATCATCTCCAAAAGATCGCCTAAAGCCGCATATAAGCTATGGACGTCTCGATCACAACACGCAGCTGGTTGTTGCGCCAAATCTGTTCAAGGGTTTGACCAATGGCAATGATAACGACAACGCCGAGGAAAGCAATAAACTCTCGCGCAGCAAGACCAGTGCGCAGGTGCGTGATGAGATGAAAACGACCCCGTCTGCCCTTGTTCACTCCGCAACAATGAGCAATGTGAAGAACAACTTGCAACGCAACAAGAGGCAGGATCACATGGATCGTTTAAAGAAGGACTTGCGGCGTGAGAGCTCGCGTGTCTTTGAGTTTCGTGTCATACAAGGACTCTGGCATGAGAAGGCACAGGAATCGGATGTGTACATAACGCAATCGCATTTGCCCGAATTTATGGATCTGGAGCAGTTCTACAGCATGCGCACCGCTGGCGATAAGGAGTACTATGTGCGTGTCCGACTAGCTGACGATGAGGAGGATGGAGATTTGCCAGCCACCATTCATCCCTCCATCGAGCTTAATGCGAATTTGATGAAGCTACTGAACATTAAGGAGCTGGAGCGCGTTGTGCTGCGCCCCAAAACGACGGTTGTGAACTTTGTGGAGAAGATTGAGCTGTTTGCGCACAAGAAGACGCATTACAAGATTATTGAGAATGCATTTAAGCGATTTGTGATTGAGAAAACTCAAAAAGCGGCCATGTTGTTCAATCAGGAGGAGGTGGTGCGCCTGGAGGACGATCTGCTGGTGACAGTGGGTATATTGCCCGAACATTTTCGGTATTGCGTTGTGGACGCACAGTTCCTAAAAGAATCGAAAATCTATGCCGCCGATTTGGTGCGTCCCGTTAATGAAATCATCAAGGAGCGACCGCCAGCAAAAACGCCACTGAGCGTCAAGGACTTGATACGACTGCCAGAGTATGATCGAATTGTGGATCAAGTGGTCAGCGAGCTGCGCATGAATCTGTGCCTTAACTCACAAAACTCGGTGCTGCGCCAGGGCAATGTGCTGCTGACCGGCGCCGCAGGTACTGGCAAAACGGTGCTAGTGGAGCGCATATTGGAGCAGTTATCTCGCCAACCGGATTATTGCTACTTTGATATATTCTACTGTTCGCGCAGTAAAGGACGCAAAACGGAATCAATACAAAAAGATTTACGTAACATATTCACCTCCTGCCTGTTGCATGCACCTGCAATTGTGGTGCTGGAGAATCTGGATGTGCTGGCGCATGCTGCCGGCGAGCAGTCCAGCCAGGATGGCGAGTACTTCAACCGCATGGCAGACACTGTCCATCAGCTCATCATGCAGTATACCAGCAGCAATGCGATTGCTGTCATTGCCACGGTCAGTGAGCTGCAGACGCTGAACAAGCGGCTCAGTGCGCCACGTGGTCGACATCTGTTTCAAACCGTGGCCCGGCTGCCCAGCTTAGAGCGCGCCGATCGTGAGATGATATTGCGCGAGCTCTGCAGTCATATTGCGTCCAGGGACTTGGATGTGGTCAAGTTCTCGAACCTAACGGAAGGCTATCGCAAGTGCGATCTTGTGCAATTTGTGGAGCGAGCCATTTTCTACGCCTATCGCATTAGTAAGTCGCTGAAATCAGTTAACGAGCCGTCTTAACCAAGTTTTTTATTCTGCTAATAGGCAAAGCTCAGCCGCTGTTAACGAATGATCAGCTTATAGAATCCCTGGAACACACGAATTCCTACTGCCTGCAGGGTATCCAAAGCAACCAAAAGACTGGCGCCGATGCGAATGCCAATGAAATGCGCGTGGAGGAGCTGCCCGGACTGGAGCCTGTGGTCAGTGTGCTTGAGGAGGTGCTCATGTGGCCATCAACGGTTGGTTGCTTATATAATTATATAAACTATAAATTTTCATTTATTTATCCATTCTCTACCAACAGTATCCCACGATATTCAATGCATCGCCTTTGCGCAATCAGGCTGGAGTCCTGCTCTATGGCCCGCCTGGAACGGGTAAAACGTTTTTGGTATCACAGCTGGCCAGCTGCTGGAGTCTGCGCATTATTTCCGTCAAGGGACCCGAGTTGCTGGCCAAGTACATTGGCCAGAGTGAGGAGAATGTGCGCAATCTGTTCAATAGGGCGCGCAGTGCGAAACCCTGCGTTCTCTTCTTCGACGAATTTGACAGTTTGGCGCCAAAGCGTGGCCATGACTCCACGGGCGTGACAGACCGTGTGGTCAACCAGTTGCTCACCGAACTGGACGGCGTGGAGGGGCTGCAGGGCGTAACGGTTATAGCGGCCACGTCGCGACCAGAGCTGCTCGATCCGGCGTTGCTGCGCTCCGGACGCATTGATCGCCTCGTGGAGTGCCCGCTGCCGGATGCAGTGGCGCGCGTGAGCATCTTCGAGGCGCTTAGCGCAACGCTCAATCTGGATGAGTGCGTGGACTTTGATTGGTTTGCGGGCAGAACACAAAACTACACTGGCGCCGATATACAAAGCATTCTGACCTCGGCAAACATGGCAGCGGTTAAGGAGGCGCTGGCACAATTCGGACATGAGGTGAGTGACAATTACAACTGGCCGGAAATGCAGCAAGTTCTTGGTAAAGCCATAGCCCAAACAGCAAATGCAGTTGTTGTTTCCGTTCCCAGCGCATCCAAAATGGAAACAGGGCGTACAAGTGCAATAAAATTAACTATTTTTGGGGTTTTGCTTCGGTCTATGATTACGTGTCTAGCATCTGGATCAGGATTAGGCAGACTTATGCGGGTGTTGGGCCAAAAAGAAAAATATATTAACAAAAAAAAAAAAACTGCAGACGAGGGTTTTTTAGATATATAAGTCACGTAACGGATATTTCCTTATTGATATGCGATTATCGCGCATGCGCACGTACTGCAACAACAACAGAAGCAGCAACAACAACAACAACAACAACATCGGCAGCAACAACTCAAAAGACAATGGACACATTTTCTTGTGCATAAATTAAACATAGGTTGAGGGCCGCGATAATAAAGAATGCAAGCCGAACCGAGCCAAGTAGACGAAATCCTCAGCCACAAAACATGCTTAGAATAAAAGTACAACAAAAATGAAAAGAAAAGAAAACTACACACATAATAATATGCTGCAACCCGCAATTGCAACATGCGGCAAGCACGGGACGGACACCTTCTAGACAGGTAGAACCCAAGGAATCGCCGGCACACTCGATGCGCTCGACAGGATCGTGTATTTTTCGCTACTTGTATAAATATTATTTAAACACACACACACACACACACAGGCACACTCGCACACACACACATGCATAATTGTGTATATCTTTGGGTACGTTTTCACGATGTCGTCGGTAACGCCGTCAACCTCGTGGATGGTCGACGATCGTCGCCATCAAATCCAAACGTTTTTTTTTTATTATTTTTTGTTGTTGTTCATATATATATATATATATTTTGTTTGGTTTGTTGTTGGGGTATTCAATCGATCGTTACTTTCAGTTGTGTGCGCACATTCAAGCAAATCGGTTGGGTTCTCGACTGTGTGGGATCTGTTTCGGTTAGTGCAACGGAAGTTGTCAATAGTGCCAGCCCCGCTGCTCCCAGCTCAGCTCTTAGCCGCCCCCAGCTTGAGGGCGAGAGGGAGCGGGAGTGCGAGGGGGTGGGGGGTCTTTAATAAGTATTGGCAACCAAGCGGAAATGCGCACGAGTCCACAAAAAAAGGGCGCCTGGACAGGGATTTCAGTTGCCTGCCAGATTGACAGCCAAATAAAAGCACTGTGACAATTCGCGTTGTTTTTGTTGTATTTCCAACTTATTTACTTCGAGCTAAAGACAAAGACGTGATTTTTTGGTCAAAAAATTTGCGTGCAACGAAAGAATTATGTACATATTTTGCCAGACATGGATGGCGTTCGCTCAAAAGCAAAATACAACATCCAGTCAAGTGAAATGCAAAGTACATAAAAGAATCAAATAAAATATAAAACAATTTTTGAAGTGCGCATAAACATATCTGCAGACTTGCTTAACGAAAAATTCAACTCAAAAATATGCATATCGAAACAAATATAAATAATCATGCAATCACAATTTATTACCATCAAATAATAATCACAGAAAATTGATGAAAAGACTTGTGGATTACAGTGAAATAACTATAATCAATAATTGTGAGATTATACTCAGGTCTGGATACTAAATCTTTATAGAGGAACGTGCTCTGAACGAGAAACACAAATTGTGCGTATGAATTATTCAAACGATTCATGATGCAGCATCAATCTATCAAATTGGTGACAAATGTGCATAAATAAGTGGGGAGAAACTCAAATATTTGCGCGCCTTCTCAGGCAAACAAAAATTCCAAATAGAGTTCTCACAGGTCCAAATATGTAAAAACAATTTAACCCAAGAATAAATATTTGCAAGCAGGTGATAAATTTTGCAAAATTATTCAAATGACCAGTCCAAAAGTGATCTTGCGATCTTTATAATATATATAAAATATTCGATGTGTGTGTTAAACGTTTCGGGCCATTGTCAAACTGACAACACAAGAAGACAGCAACAACAAAAACAACAGCAACAACAGCGAAAAATAACAATAATAATAATACATATTTCAAACATACGCGTTTTGTCGGCTGGCAATAAATGAAAAAAGGAATTGAATAAATTAAAAATCGCGACGTGTGTGCAAATACATACATATATCAGACAAAATAAGCATTGGCAAAACCAACAACAACAACAGCAACAACAACAGCAACAGCAACAACAACAACAACAACAGCAACAGCTACAACGACAACAACTGTCCAACATTAACAACAACAGCTGTCGGCTTGGCTTAAAAATAATATAAAATATAAATTTCATTAGTGCACAGTGGTTAAAGATAACAATTACAAGCGTATCGCTTGCTAAAGAAGAAGGCTTAGTCTGAACTTTTTAATTGGTTAAAATTATATTTCAAGTTTTTAAAACAAAAATCAGTTAACATACATATATACTTGTTATAAGCTTTTTTGGTTCACAGTTTCAGCCAGATTTCTGTCTTAAGGTTCAGTTTGTCAACCAGATTTTCCAACTTTGTCCACTTTTTTGTCATTCACAACATTTGGTTTGGGTTCGGCTGTTTTTTGACCATTTTGACCAAAACAAAGCTTTAAGGTTTGATTCGGTTTCCTTAGATCTTCGCTTTCAAAGCAGACTGTGTACATCTTATACTCCACAATTAAGAGCTTGTGTGCAAAGCCCGACTAATTAGTCAAAATCGGATATTGTATAGTATTGTGCAGTATAACATTAAAAAGTAAGATCTGTACTCTTTTATGTAGAAAACTAGGTTGAAGTATCGTCTGCTTGCATTCAAGCGAAAAGGCTTATATTTAATCTAATTAATTAATTATAATTAAACACCTCATGTTTTATAATTTCCTTTCCCAAACCACAATTTGCACATTTTTGCGCGTTCTCTTGATCTTATAATCTATAAATATGTTCTCGATTAGATGGCGCTTTTAGCAAATGCACGTAGCTTTTGCTGTTATCAGTATTCACCTTATCAACAGAAAATAGTTCCCAGGCTGTGTCCGCTTTCAGCTTAGAATTTGATAAGAATCTTAGTAGTCACATCCGCAAATACCTCGATCTTAAGGAAATGCAACGCCTATCAGCTTAATCATAATTAAATAATTGCTTTGACTCTGAGTATATTTTTCTACGTGGTCTTTTGCAGGCATTCAGTTGTGCATTTTATCGCCTAGATTTAGGTATGCACAGCTTGATTTGTAAAATAATAATATTAATCTGAGCACCCACTCAAATCTGAATTATACTTCTAATGTTTGAGGTGTGTTGTGTTCGGCAGGTCTTTTGAGTGCACCTTGTATTCATTAAATTGATCTGAATACAATGCTAAAAATACATCCAACGCTAGCAACAGATAGTTTTGTATCTAATTAAATATGTAATGCATAGAAGGAGACACACCCGAACCCTTTAAATACTATTGCTCTTGATCAAAGTCAGAAGCCGCGTATATAGTAACTCACATTCTTGAAACTGATTGTCATAAAACCTGGCTGAGCTGCGCTTTTCGCTTGCAGTATATATCTTGAATTAAACCGAATCCGAATCGATCTTAGGTAATTTTTTGTATTAAAAAAGGAGGAGGCACAATAATATACTGTCTATATCATAAAGTTGTGATTGGTCGGTTGAATATTAGGTTTACCTGTTGTCAAAATATCTAAATTATCTTGACTGAATTCTGCACACATAGCCAAAAGGGGTATTTAAACTACGACTTGCCTAATGCAGTAGTTTTTCCCCCTTTTATATTCAATCATACGCTGCAAAGCCAGTTGCCAATTTCGGACCACGGTGCGCGCTTGGTAACAATGTTGACTTGTAAAAATTTACCGGCCATTATAATTGTTATTGCATCAAAAATTTCTAACTGTACGAACGATTCGTAGTATCAATGAAAATGACGACATTTTGCGTATATGGCAAGTGCCCGATGCTCGCAGAGGAGTATATATATATATAGCCAACTTATAGATACTTGACTTGTGCGTGTGTGTGTGTGTGTGTTTGAGTTGACAACAGCTACAGCTACAACAACAACAACAAAGGTGTTGCTCATTACAGAGGCAGTGCACATAATGGTTACCTTTTTATATTATACGCGTTGCCTTTTTCTTTAGATTTATTTTTGTTTTGAATATTAAAAAAAAAAAGACTCAAACTGGACTTAACTGATAGCAATAAATTATAATAAAAATAGTAGAAAAAAACGTATAAAAATAAAACATGTAAAAAAATGAAGCCAAGCGAATTATAAGTGTCTTGGCAAGAGCAGCAGCAATTTGGCAACAGCAACAGCTACGCAAACAACAATCACATCAACAACAACAACAACTCAGATGCTCCACTTGACAATGCAAAATCTGCTTATCATCATTTTCATCATCATCAGCCGGAGCAGCAGCAGCAGCAGCAGCAGCAGCAGCAGCAGCCGGAGCAGCAACATTTCGAGCTGCCACTATGAGGCACATCGTTGCGAAATCGATGTGCTTCAAGTGCCTCAGCCTGGCTATCGTCATGTGCCCTCGGATGTGGATATAACGCTGCTGTGCCCGCAACCGCAGGCGGCATGGTACTACCAGGAGCAGCTCATGCAACGCGGCAAGAGCTATTTGCTGGAGCGCGCACAGGCAGAACATTCGGGCATGTATTCCTGCCACTATGAGCGCAACAAGTGGGCCAATCTTACGCTGCAGATTGGCAATCAAATGCCCGGCGATGATGTGGCCCGTTTCAATGAGCATGGCGAGCTCTATTTGCAGCAGTTGGATGTCAGCCTGTTGCCCAGTTTGGGCCAGCAACTGGAGGCGTTTGTGCAACGCACAGCGGGCGGCATGTTTCATCTGAACTGCAGTCCGGCGGCGGGCGTGACATGGAGCAACATTAACTGGTATCACAATAATACGCCACTGGTGAATGTCGGCCGCATCCGGCTGAGGAATACAACGCTGAACGTGTGGCAGCTGCAGCCGCAAGATGCGGGCAACTATCGCTGCCAAATGTGCAATTCCCGCGGCTGCATTGACAGCAACAACAGCCGCCTGGAGGTTATGACGCGTCATCACACGGCGCCTGTGCTTAGTGCCGGCTATCCGCGCAATGTGAGCGTTGCGCTGGAGGAGCATGCGAGCATTGAGTGCAAGCTCGAGGATTCACAGCTGGAGCCGCAAATCGTTTGGCTAAAAAAGTATCGAGCGGATGGCGATATAAACACGCTGATGCAGCGCCTGCGGCAACAAGTCAAGCTAAAGGATGATGCAGAGGTGCTAAAACTGTTGACCATCAAGGATACGCCGCAGGTGCTGCGACTGGGCAGCGTGGACCACAGCGATGCAGGCTGGTATATCTGTGCGGCTGAGAATCAGATGGGACGCACGCTGGGCGCTGCTTATTTGGAGGTGTCCGACAAGCCCACCAACGTGTCCGCTGCAACAGAAACAACGACAGCAACAACAACGACCACGACGACGACAATGAAAACGACGCCGACATTGCCTTCGATCACCAGCGATGCGGATGATGATGCAGCCGATGATGCAGCAATTGATGCAACAGATGTTGCCAAAGAGAAGCAATTGCCAAAGTTTACAAAGTCCTTGAATCGCTTGCAACATTGTGTCTCCGGCGAAACCCTGGTCCTCTCCTGCCCCAACACAGCGCATCCGCACGCAAACACCACCTGGACCTTCAAGAGAGGCGGAGACTATGAGCCACTGCAGCGCGATATTGGTGGCTACAAGTTCCGGCGCTGGTCCCTGGTCATGACGAATGTCATTTCAAAGGATTCGGCCATGTACAAGTGCACAGTCTGCAACACCCTTGGCTGTATTGAATTCGAGTTTAGCGTTGTCGTCATCGATCGCATCCGCGCACCGCCATTTATACCGAAGATAGACAACAAAACGGAGTTAATCAACACCCGGGTGGAGGTGAAATGCGATGTGATATCCGATGCTGAAGCGTCCGTCGAGTGGATACGTGTGATGCAGCACAATCACTCACGGCCCTTGAAATCGGACTCACTGGATCGAGATTTTGTGCGCATACCGTTGAACACAACGGTGGATCGGCGCGATTGGCTGCTGCTGAAGAATGTGACGCACCAGGACGAGGGCTGGTACACGTGCGTGGCGTCCAATTCGTTGGGCAGCGGCAATGCCAGCTTCTATCTGCACGTGGTCGACCATTTGCCCTATTTGTATATGGGCGAGCTGTACCGATCACATCCCATGGGCTTCACTGTGGCTATCGGGATGATACTGCTGCTATTTCTGTTTGGCAGTGCCTTCATTGTATACATGCTTCGACGCCTGCGGCGGGAGAAGCTGTTGAAGCATCGCATCGAAACGGTGCATCAGTGGACCAAGAAGGTGATTATCTACAAGCCGGCCAGCCTTGAGGGCGGCTCCTGCGCGGGTGATCTGCAAATACCTGTTATTAAGATCGAGAAGCAGCGCACAACCTTCTCCAATACAGAGACAGGCGGCTCAACAGATCCGGCACAGGGCTTCAATGAGTACGAGTTTCCCTTGGACTCGAACTGGGAGATACCCAGGCAGCAGCTAGCTCTGGGCTCCATTTTGGGTGAGGGCGCCTTTGGACGTGTCGTCATGGCCGAGGCGGATGGCCTGCCGCGCAGTCCGCCGTCCTCCAATAACGGCATGGGCACCATTGTCGCCGTCAAGATGGTTAAGGAGGAGCACACGGATGCCGACATGGCCAGTCTGGTGCGCGAAATGGAGGTGATGAAAATGATTGGCAAGCACATTAACATCATCAATCTGCTTGGATGCTGCAGCCAGAACGGTCCCCTGTGGGTCATTGTCGAGTATGCACCCCATGGCAATCTTAAGGATTTTCTCAAGCAAAATCGACCTGGTCAGCTGCAGCGACGTAGCGACAGCGATGGCTATCTGGACGATAAGCCAACGCAGCCCCATCAGCAGCTGGGCGAGAAGGAACTAACCATGTTTGCCTTCCAAATAGCACGCGGCATGGAATATCTTGCCTCGCGACGGGTAAGGCAACATCCCCTTTCGAAGCGTAGGGTATATAGGTCTAATGTGTAACATTTTCCAGTGTATTCATCGCGACTTGGCAGCGCGTAATGTGCTCGTCAGCGATGGCTATGTGATGAAGATAGCGGACTTTGGCTTGGCCCGGGATATACAGGATACGGAATATTATCGCAAGAATACAAATGGACGCTTGCCCATTAAATGGATGGCGCCAGAGTCGCTGCAGGAGAAGTTCTACGATTCACAGAGCGATGTCTGGAGCTATGGCGTGCTCCTATGGGAGATAATGACATATGGCGAACAGCCCTATCCAAATATCATGTCCGCCGAGGAGCTATACAGTTATCTAATAACTGGCCAGCGTATGGAGAAACCGCCAAAGTGCTCACTTAACATTTATGTGGTGATGCGACAGTGCTGGCACTTTGAATCGTGTGCGAGGCCCACATTTGCGGAGCTTGTGGAGAGTTTTGATGGCATATTGCAGCAGGCTAGCAGCAATCCGAACGATGCGTACTTGGATCTATCGATGCCAATGTTGGAGACGCCGCCATCCTCCAGCGATGAGGAGGACGGCTCTGAAACTGAAACATTCCGAGAGACTTTACCGCTTAGATATCAATATACATATAAGTTTAACTAGTGCTAGGCATGGCTTTACCATTTACATCCATCGATCCATCAATCAGAAATACTCATCAATAAATTACGTCCGATTCTATTTAAGCAAATTTAATCAATGTTTTTCCATTAACCAACAGAAGCTGCCAAAGAAAATTTTAGTGAAGCAAAAACATCTCGTCGAATCGTATCAGACGACGCGCCCATCGCTCAGCGCCACCGATGTATCCAAATATAAGAAAACGTGAGTACAACTCATAAATAGATTTATATATGTACTATATAATTTTCCTATTTACAGGTACGCACGCTTTACGAACAAGGAGAAGAGCTCCAGGGAGTTTGTGGCCAAACGGGCCACCTTGGCGTAGCTCTAAAGACTAAGAAACTAAGCTAAAAGATATAATTATATAAAACCGAAGTTCGGTTTTTAATGGGATGCTATTTTTGCGCATGTTTTTCTTTGGGATTGTATTTTTATTATTGTTGAAAAATTAAAAAACGAATTTATTAAATTTATTCTTTAAAATTAGTTCCAAGACAGTTAAGTTCCACACATGTACGGTAAAAATATTGACTTGAAGATTTCTATCACTGTAAATATAGGGTAAAGATACGATCATGGATGCTTGGTAGATCACTCTTTAAGCGAGGACAAATAATTTAAAACTTATGTAGTTCAAAGACAAACCTTTTCGGCTTACCTAACAAGTATTATTGATACAGGGTATATGAACTGTGATGCGAGGTGCAGATCGAAACAATGCAAATGCTATTCTCATATATGCATATATACATACTTGTGATAAGGTATGGGATCAGCCATTGGCTTTATAAATTATAAGAAATATGAAATAAATAGGCTGCATCTTTTAAGAGCAGCCTCATTCGAAATGCAGCGAGTAACATTAACGATCTGTGTTCTTCTCAGCTTGTCCTATTGTGCTGGAGTTCCTGTCCATGGCTGGAGCTTGCGTCCGCGCTGGTGGTTGGGCGAATCTCGTCCAGATCGTGATGTAGTGAGGCCTACGCAATGGGAACTAAGGCAGCGTTTCTTGCTTGATTTGTTGCTGCAGGTGCACAAGCCTCTGCTCCAACAGGAGCTCACCGACATGGGCCGCGATCTTAACGAGACTCCCAGTGATTACGAAGCGGTAAGTAGATGCGCATTTTTAACTGCTTTGAGTTGTCAGTAAATTGTGTTTTATAGGGTAGCTGGCCGCTGTTGCGGGATTTTTTTGAGCGCGTCCATCAGAACCGCATATTGCGTCCATACAGCATCTATAGCCTGTTGCAGGAGGAGCTGCCACAGCAGCTGTTAGACGTCTATCGTTTTCTCTTGCTAGCCAAAGACTGGAAGATCTTTCAGCGCAACGCCTGCTATGCACGCAGCCACTTTAATCCCGTGCTCTTTGTGCATGCGCTGCAGTTGGCGATTGACGGACGTGAGGACACAAAGGATCTGATGATGCCGGCCATGCATGAGGTGCTGCCACAGCTATACTTTGACAAGGAGCTGATACGAGAAGCACAGTTTGTTAATTGGCAGCAGTTGGCGCCAGTTATTCCAAAGCGCAGCTGGAGAGAGACACTGGGCAGCATTGTTTATCCAAGGAAATTCAGTCCGCCGCCGGAGCTGGAGCTAATGCCCGCCGATCCGATTGTCATAGAAGTGAATTTCACTGGAATGCAGCTGAGCTTGGATGTAGCATTAAATGGCTATTGGAGCAGGCTTATAAGTCGGCTGATTATCGTCACGAAAGATAAGGAAGACCTTGCGCCTGCTATAATAGACGGCGATCGCATGATGCCGTTCCGTAATGCTCAAGATGAATGGACATATCGACAACAATTAGAGAGTCAACGCAAGCCAGAAAACGGGCAGTTACTGATGCACAACATAAAGCAATTTGTCGCATTGCTGCAACTGGAGGAGCTGGCAACGGGCACCAGATCGATGGAGTTGGTTAGGCCCACATTGATGACAACGGGAGGTGTACCCTACAAGGCGACAGCGCTCAATGCTGAGGACGTGCGGCAATTGATAAGCCAGTCTATTGAAGAGCTGCAAGGTCGCATTGATAAGCAGCTGCAAAAAGATCAAGAAATTCAGACAATGGCAGCAGTGGGTGAGGTGATTGCAGCGCAATACTGGCCGCTCTGTAGACATCTCAGTCTGGCCATCAACGGCAATCGTGTGGAGCCCAATCTACTAGGCATGACCACGTCCAACCTGAGGGATCCCATTTACCGCTCACTGCTTCTCCAACTGGCTAAACTCATTGCGCAATATGAGCCAGAGTCACAGGCGCCATCCCAGCATCAGCAGCTATTGCAGTTGCGCCAAATCCGGGTGGGTCACTTGGAAACCTATGAGGAGCCCATAGACACGGATCTGATTAATTTGATGGACCAGCAGCTGCTTCAGACACAGCGCAACAATTTGCAATTGCTACGACGACGTCTTGTGGCTCGTCATTTCCGCTTAAACCATAAAGCATTTAATATCACCTATGAACTGTCCGTTCCCTATAAGATGTTTGCAGTGATTCGCAGTTATCTGGTGTCGCCTGGCAGAGATCAGCCTCAACTGCTACTGGACAGTTTTGTTAGTGAGTTGGTAAGTGGTGAAAATTTAGTAGAGCGTCAATTCCCCACAGCTTTGAATGCACACACGCTTAGCGAACTCTATGAAGCCAAGGCCCCGTTCGATGGTCCCAAGCCTTGTTCATTTCCTAAGCATCTTCTGCTGCCTCGTGGCACCGCCAAGGGTCTAAAACTACAATTGCTTGTCCAAGTGCTTCAATGGAATGGCTCTGAGCTGAGCGCTGAGTGTGAATGGGCTGGCTGGGCTTCAGATTGGAATTCTCCTGTACTTGCCAGCGTACTCTCAGATGTGGCTATCTACCATCAGAACTCGCAGGACTTAAACTAAATGAATCTTACATGGCGAAGAGATTCATCAATATCAATATATTTTAACTCAATAACAAGCAAAATGAAGAAAGAGTGATTTCACAGTTAATACTGATTTAAAGAACTGTCGTTAACAAAATTCGTCAGTTATCGAAAGCTTGACAAAGCTATGAAATGCGGTTGGGGCAGCACTTTTAAACTGCTTTTGTGGCTATGAATTTCTCTAAAGAAATCAAGTCGATTTATAGATTTATTGCTCGAAGGTAGCTTAGTTTGAAGGCATTTTCATTTGAAAGTATAAATAGAGATTATTGATTTTATGACAAGAGCTTGGGGTTCCCTTTAATTTAGTAATTTGTTAATCTCAAAAACATTGATGTCATTAATAGATTTTCTGCAAATTACTAAGAACCTCCGATAAGGCATTTTCTTATCGCGCGACTAATGTAATAAATTGAAGTGGCAATTAGCCACATAATACTGAGGTTAGCCAATGGTGAAGTCAATGATGGGCAGTCATTAGAAAAAGCTAATAAAATAGCTTTTAATAGAATCTTATCAATATTCCCCTGAAAAAAACTCCTTTAAAGAAAAACTAATAGATAATTTTGAAAGACTGTTGTATTGATTTACTATATTTGGAATGATGTCTTTATTTGAAGCTTAGAAAACGGAAGTGCTGTTCTTATACTTAGCTACGAGCGTCTCGTATTTGTCGAATTGACGCAGAGGCAAGTCGTCGTTCTTGATAATGCAATTTTTTTTCGATAGGAATAGTGTGCCAATTAGCAAACCGCCATCGGCCTTGGCACGGCAAATAAAGACACGTTCATTCCAATGGGTGGTGCCCACGGAAACGGCGTCTCTCTCGTAGTAGCCATCGAAGCTGCGCACCCACTCGAAATCTACATTCGGTTTGGTAGTCAATAGCTGATAGGTTACGCCCTTATTGCTTATGGTGTCCGTATTGAAATGGGCAACGCCCGTTTCAGCCACGACTCGGGCGGGCAAAACGTTGGTGGCATAAGTGACTCGGCCGACGTACGTGTAGTAGCCATAAGGATCGAATCCTCCAAGCACAACATTGCTGGGCAATGGATACGACAGATTTCCTGCCACCCACACGTGTTCAGCATCTAAGGTATAGAGGATTAGGTTATGAGGTTGATTCACCTGACGGAAATGTAAGTGCTTACCATTTGTGGAAGGAACGCCGAAAACCACGGCAATAAGACCAACAACCAGCAAGCAGGCAACTTTGAACATCTTGTAGTTCTTCGAGACAACTATTGAAAATCGCAAACATCGGTAGTTGCTTTTATACTAAAGACTTATCTATTTTCGTTATCGCGTGTGCCATAGATGTATGATTAAAACCGGGACTTACGCCGATTATTGATTTATAACCTGTTGCAGTTGGAAACAACTTACAATTTATGAATTTTTTAAATTTAAACTTAAAATTATCGAGAGTATCGATACAAAAGATATCAAAGTTCTCAGCTTGTGAGTTGCAAGCGCCATCTATTGTTCGCTTACAAAAAATAAAGCAGCGCCATCTTCATTTAATAAAGCTAAGGCACACATTCAAACATTTTTTCATTCGAGTTCGTAGCCAAATGACTAAATTTTTAATCACTATAGTTAAGTGTCGGACGTGACTTTAATTATATGTGTATAGTTAATCAAAAATCCAAAAAACCCCTTTTACAAATATTGTGTGTAGAATGAGCTCATCGAGCAATAAAAACTATTCCATTCTGCACAAATATATGCAAAATACTTGCTAATTCACTTCTAATGAGAGACGAGCTTGTAATGATACACATTAGGGACTGAATTTTAAATAGTGAATTTGACTCGAAAAGGACATCAATCTAAATAAGTTTCATGCGTTTATTTTACTAGTGTTTTTGTCTAACATTTTATGCATTTCTAATTTCTTTAGAATATTAAGCTACTTGTTTTCTCTTTCTCTCCTTCAAGTGGAAATCAAATAAAATGACTGGCAAATAGGCAAACGGAGCAGTCCCCAAAGGAAAACTTGAAAACGAAACGGTTTATTATGCTTATGCGAATGTGATGACAACAAAAAGGCATAATAGTAAAATTAAATGTGTCTATTATGCCAGCAATACAATGCACACATAAAACCGCACACACGCACACAACCTCACACAAACGCAAACCCAGGCACACACACAGGCTCCGCAATCGTATTGCCCATAGAAACATTTGGCAGACAAGAAACGTTTAAGGAAGGATGTGTTGCTTAGGACAGACGGCAGGGGTGAGCAGCGGCATGCGGGGGGGTGGGTTGGCTGTGGTGCGATCCACACGCTTAAAAACAAATGCACAATACAACAAAAACAACAACTAGAGCTGTATTGAAACATGGAAGCTCAGTTCTTGGCAGAAAGAAAAGCGAAATCAACTTGAAGGCCCCAGCGAGAAGGGTATCGCAGATGGGCCCGGGAATGGGCGGAATGGGCACTTGGCCCGGCCCGGGCGTGTCTGCTGCTAGATAAGCGCAATAATATGCACGTATTTTACGGCAGCTCTCCCGCACCTCATCCACACTATGTCGCGCACATTTCCTAAGAATGCGCAAATTTAAAAGCGAATTGTTTTCAGTTTTGTTTGCCGTCGTCGCTTTGCCTAATTGACTTTGCGTGCCACATGCCGACTCCTTAGCCCCCGTCCTGCCACCACCTGCGTTCCACCTACTCAGCCGCCAACTGTCCAAAACTTGACAAGAATAGACGACAATCAGCGTTCATTTTTCGCCTTTTTTGTATGCGTCTAATTTGTGTGCGGTTTATGAAAAGAATATACCAGCTCCCGTTCCCGTTCCCGTTCCTGCTCCAGTTCCAGCACGCAATGAACAAATGTTGCCCTTGCCGCCGCGCCAAGAATCAAAATGCGAAAAGTTGTTGCTCATTTTCTGGCTTATTAATTTCTGATTGTAACTAAGGTGACAGCTGAGGTCTGCCGGCGCCCGCAAATACTTTATGGAGTGGAAATCATAAAACCAGCTGTAAGTATGTACATATTAATATTAAATACTAGATTAATACGTGGCGTGTCTAACTAGTTCTTAAATCTGTTAGAGAGATTCTCATATAATTAGTCTATAGTCCAGCTTGCTCTGCAAAACCAGATCAGGAATGTTCAACGTAAGCCTGGTGCTGGCATCCAGATGGGCAATAAGCGAAAGGAAGGCTCTAAAGTGCCCATTGGCATTGGACCCAACATCGTAGCTGCTATTCAGCATCTCTTGTGGCATTCCTGGGTATTGTATTTCATTTCCGTTTTCATTATTATTTGTGGCTGGCCCCGGCTGCCCGTTGACGACAAACTGTGGATGTCCTTTTGGTCCTTTGGTGCGCCTGTCGCTCAACTCGCTCTGTTGTCTCTGCCGTTTGGCATTTGCTTCGTTTTTTTTATCGCCTTCGTCTTCGTCCGCGTCGTCGTCGTCGTCGTCAAGAACAACGCCAACGACGCTGCCAACTTCCTGCTATCGTGCTAATTTCCGTTGCTTTATCTTGACACAATGGTGCGCATTAAAAGCGTGATGGGGAACTGCTTGGCAAACTTCATAACTAAGGGCGGTGCCTTGGGTTGCTAGACTAGCAGGAAGGGGGGCGGGGATGGGATGGGCGTTTGTTGGCTCCAATGCAACCGCTGACCGCTGCGCTTTTATTTCCGCCCCACATTTTGTCGCCATATTAGACGCCATTTTTGTTTTCGCATTGTCAACACATTGTCATTGGGTGGCAAGCAACTAAATGCTATGACTGCTGCTGCGGGGGTGGCTGGGGGGCAGCTCTGGGGTTGCTGTCGCATTCTCATTTTCCTGCTGGCATTTGCATGCGGTTTTTCTCTTTCAAAAATATTGATAAATGCCGCCATTAAACGCGATTAACCATTTGAATTATGTGGCAAAGCCAAATTTTATTGCCAACACAATTCTATGGTCGAACAAATGGCATCATTATTAAAATATATGTACCTATATTGAGTATGTGTGTGAGTGTGTGTGTGTATGATAATGCAAAACGAGCATAATTGGGGCGGGCATGGATTCAAAGTGGGAGCTGTTCATATTTAAAAAATTTCGTGCTCACAATTTGCGCCGCTTGAATTTCAATGCAACCGCGAAAATTATTGCCAATTGTTTGTGCTGGTCCAGCCAGAACCAGAGCCAGAGCCAGCAACAAAAAACAAGAACAAGAACAACAACAACAAAAGCCTCAGAGACTAATGCAATTTTAGTCTAAACAGTCGCCAACAATTTGAATGAATTGCATCAATTGCCGGCCCATTGTGCTCTTCCAAAAAAGAAAAAAAAATGCCCGCCCTTGTGTTCGACTATTGAGTGGGCGTGCCTGGTTGCACGTTGCCCTGCTGCATTGTTGTTACCCGTGTGTCTGTGTGTGTGTCTGTGTGTGTGTGTGTGTGTGTGTGTGTGTGTGTGTGTGTGTGTGTGTGTGTGTGTTTATTCTTCCTTGTGTGCAGTGCACTCGCGGGGGTAATAAAATAATTGCAGCGCACGTGTCAAAAATATTCAAAAGGATTAAGTAGCGGTTCGTTCGGGTGCTCGGGCACTCGGGGTGGCTGTAAATCCGCCAGTTTCCTTTGCCGTACGCATTGTCCAACTGATTGCATAAATTGTTATGGAATGCCATGGACGAGTACTCATAGAAAAGGCTGTGAATGCGCCAACGACAATTTCACATGGTCCTTTTTTCTTTTTGGGCGCAGGACAAACTGATTCGGGTGTTGAGGGATTGTTGTCAGTGCCTTCGCTTTTTATGCAGCATTGTACTCTGTAAATTGTAGAAGGCATATCAGACTTTAAAGTCAGTTTAGTCGTACTTCGGTTTGAATATAGTCAGGCCATGAAACATGATGCTCCCGCAGCTTTGTGTAGCTTGCTTTGCACAAATATATTTTGAAAATTTGAAAACAACTTTTTGTTCACCTGATTTTATTATTCTATTATTATGACTTAATTTATAATTTTAATTCATATTATTTTGAATTATTATTTAATACGTGACATATTTCTTATAGTGTATACAGAAGTTTGCTTTTTGTCAACTCGGATATTTTCTTGTTATGATTCGTTTTTTTCTTGGCTCTGGTAGGAATTTATTTTGATTTGCAAAAAATTTACTGCGGCATTGTATATCTTGTGTGTGTGTGTGTATTTTGGTGTATGCTTAACGTTTTATTGCTTTTCGCACTCGCCACTTGCCACTTGCCACTTGCCACTTGAGGGTTTGTCGGGAGGGTTGTCCTTTGCGACTGGGAACTGGGCGCTGGGCGCTTTGTTTACTTTGTTTGTGGTGTGAATAGCAAATAAGCCGCAACAAATGCGATTCTATTCCATAGTTCGATGGACTGTTTTCTATGAAGTGTGTGGCCCAGCTGAAAGCACATTTGATTCTAATTAGAATGCATTCAGCAAGCGCAGCAAAATAATTTAAAACATTTGCCGCCTCATTAGTTGACAAAATGTTGGCGCGCAATGATGCAAAAGTCAAATTGGAGTAAAATACTCGTTAAATGGGAAATGCAAAATGCAAAATGCATTTGCCGCTGTGTAATCTCTGTGGCCACAAAATCAATTTGCGTTACAAAATTTATATCAGCCAAAGCTGCCTTCCCACAACATATTGGAAAATTAAATGCAATTGCTTTGGCTGTCGTGTCTGTGGCTGCAGAAATTGATTGATTTTGCTGTGACAGCAACTGTAATTGAAAATATTTGTTAACCATTAGTTTAGTGATATATTCCCGTTGCCAGAAGTAAGTAGTTTGGGTGACCTGCCTTACCTGCGTCAGGCATCCCTTCCTGCGCACATTTCCGTAATTCCCTTCAGCTGCTTACGGTGGGCGGGCTGCCTTGCTTTTAATCCCACTTCAAGCAATGCCTCAAGAGGTTCCTCTTTCTTTCTTATCTATCGATGCGCCAAAGCGTGTCAGCTGTGCTCTGTGGCCGGGTAGACCTGGACAAGGGCTGCTTGCGGTTCCGTTTTTACAATAGCAGAAAAGCCTTTTGACAATGCGCCACACAGATTTCAACTCCGATTACCCTGTAATCAAAATGACGCGAAACGGCTGTAACCGGCGTGTAGGATGTCAGGAACTCCCTAAGAAGCATTCAAAGGATATGTTTGCTCAAAGAGTCTTTTTATCCCACAAATTTTTTGAAAGTGAAAATGCACTCAGTGCAGGGTACTTGGTAGTCGAGCAATTGCATTCAGTCTCATGTTTTTTATGCTTTTATTTATTTTTTTTTTTAATTCGCTGCAAATTGAATAGACGACAGTGACGATTGCCATATAGCATTATCACCTACACACCTCAAATTTTGAATAGCTTGTAAGCAATTGGTTCGATTCCTAGTCCCCCACTTCGGGCCACATTCCGCCCACATCCCGCCCACATTCCGACCAGCGCCTCACCCCATTAGCCTTTGTATTTCGGCTGCGTCGCGTATATCACATTTCCGTTTGTTAGCATTTTTCTACATTGTATACACTCACACACTCGCTAGCACGAGTGTGTATTCATGTACGAATATGAATGGCAAGAAGTTTTCTGCTCAACTTGATAGCCCCAAACACAAACCCAACCTGAGCCCCAACCACGCGCAGCTCAAGCCCTTCCCATTACAACAGTGCATGCAAAAATTTCTATTGTACATTTTGACTGGGTATTTTGGGGAGGGGGGAGGGGTGCGACAAGGGTGTATCTTTTTCTTCTTTTTTTTTTCTTTTGGGTGGTATTGTGTTGATTTGAAGGCAACTCACGCCCTCCTTAGTTCCTTTTGGCATTTCGATTGTCAATATTTTCCACACGTCCACACAAAAGGTAGAAACTAAACTTTGTTCATTGATTTCTTCACGGAGGCAATGCACTAATGTCACTTTTATTACGATTTTACGATTTTTGATGGACTACTTAATTTTCTAGGGTTTGATCAAGTTCATTTGTAAGGGCCAGAGTTGCCAGCCCGACAAAATGTTCGGCGGCTTAAACCAGTTTCCTGCCTTTCGTTACTGGTTCAAACCTCGGTTTGTCCTTTTTTCTAAGCTATATAAACACAACTAATTTTTTTAATTTCCATTTGCCCGCTGTACTGAAATTATTGTAAGCCATACATATTTTCACATACAAGATGCGGGCTATATTTGACCCATACCCAAATCGTGGCATTTACCAAATGTGGTTAATGCAATAATTGGGCCAGTTACTTGTACTTTGCAGGTTGGATTTGGTTGAATTTGTTTTAACTTTTGAATCAAAACCTATATTTAAGCTTCAATTTACAGTAGAGAGTTATTGCAGCTCTGGAAAGTTTCTCTATAGAATATCATTATTCTTTATCTTTTTTATTAGATCTTGACTCAAAAATTCTTTTTCGAATCGAAAATAATGTAAACATATTGTTTTTTTTTTAATTGTGAACTTTCAAAGATCTTTGGCGCTTTTGGCCAATTAATTTTCATAGCTATTCATAAAATTATCTCGCCTCCCTTCACCATTTTTGCGAAAATTGTTTCAACTAACTGAACTGCGAAATTGTTTGCCAACTAAATGTTAAAATAGAAAAGAAACACACTCGGCACAGATAAGAACGCCAACTTGTTTGCTTAATAAATAAACTTTATATTCATAACTGAAAAACTTTTTGCGCTGTCGGACTCTAAGGAGTGCGGCATGCAGCATGTGGCATGCGGCATGCGGCAGGCAGCGAAACAAATGTGGGCGCTAATTTGCGTTGCAAAAACTTTTCGTTTGGCGCCCAGAAATGTTTGCCATGGCATTTGCCAGCTGGATGCGGCAGCGGGCCACCCGGACTGCAGCATACGGAGGCGCCACAAACTGCGCGCGACGGCATTTCCGGCCTTTCTGAGTTAGCTGAGTGCAAGCCGCACAACATAAATTATGCGAGCGCTTTCCGCATCAGCTGCTCCGCGCTATCTGCGCCGCGCGGCCGCTAATCACAAAAGTTTTCGGGCTTGCGTTTCGCTACCTTCAATTGCCACTCGAGGAAAGTTTGGCGTGCTGCAGCAATGGGAGCCAAAAGGGTTAAGCAGACTTTGGCGAAAGTCGCTCAGAACTCTCAGCAGAAGTTTTTGCAGCACTGATTAACGAGACATAATTATTTTTGCATTAAGCGGCAGCTAATAGGCCGTGTAATACCAAAGTTTTTTGCCCCTAAATCAGCTCATCAGACCATCGGAATAAGGAGAGCGCAAAAAAAAGGAGACACTCGAAGATAATGAAAGTGCATTCAGGTGGCAAAAGTCAGAGACAGGTCGAGTGCCAACATTTTTCCATTATCCGATGTGCCACATTCTTTGCCAGCACAAAAACCAATTTAAATAATTCAACTACGACCATATAATACTCTATAGTATATTTGGGACTTCATTGTCAGTCGGAAATATGTAAGATTAATTTAATTTTTGTTGCCTTTACATGCAGATATTTTAAAAATTTTGATAAGCCTTAGACAGAGTAAATGAGTTGTTGCCTATTCTTCACATTCACGGAAAGGGTATCAATATTCCAGAATTGTGGTGGAAGGAGGCATTCTGGAAAAATGCAACATTTGACTGCCTGCAGCGAAATGTCTGCTCTTCTATGGTTGGCCAACACAGCCAGTGTCTGCCTTGATGAGAAAACTCTTCTGGAGCTGAGGGTTAAAACCGAGGCTGAAATCGTTTTGAGCTCTCTGAGCCAGTGACAGCAAAGCCCGACAGCTTCACAACGGAAAGTGTGATTATATTTTCATTTTCAATTTTTTACGGCCAATTAATTTGGCAATTGACGCTTCGCTGGGCGTCTGCGACAGCACAGATATACGTGTATATGTACTTACATAGCTGTGGGTGGGAGATTGTTGCAAATTGAGTTGTGTGGCAAGAATAGGAAAAGTCTATTATAGTGTCGGGAAAAGCTGCCTGCCAGCTATTTTGCTGTTGCATTGTCTGGCCCGAACATAATATGAAACTGCTTTTGTGGGCGGCTTTTGTTGGGGTGCCCTAATCCCTGCCATCCTGCCCAGGACTATCATGCAATTTGCATCAAATCGGTTTTTCGAAATTAGAAAATTCAGTCAGGTGCAAATTTGCATAGCGAATGGATGTTGGCATTCATTTGGTTATCGATCAATAACGTAGGTTATCGATAAGTAAGCAATTCCGTTATCGATCACAAATGATTTTTAGAAATTTTAAATGTTTTTTTTTTCAATGCACTTATGCATCACTTGCATAGCTTTATTTAGGGATTACAGAAAATATGAAATTTAACTATTACATTTCGGATATGTCAGAATGCGTATGATTTAGGGTCTATCGATCGGTCAGTCCATCAGGCAAAGGGTTAATATGCGGTCGCGTCTTCAGTTCTCGTGAATGATCATAACGTCCTCCAGTTGTACGTTGGACAGCTGCAACAGTTCCTGCTCGTTGTCAATGCGTCGGTCGAGCGGGAAACCCAGCGGACGGCTGTCCATTATGGAAGCCATGCTCATGCCCATAACGCCATCGATGCGCTCCATTCGCATCAGTTGCTCTCGGCCCAGGCGCTCCACGGGCGAGACAATCACAAGCAGCTGCATGGGCAGACCCTCGGGACGACCGCGTGGCAGCAGTAAGCGCTGAGGGAAGCGTCCATTTTCACCAACCAGGTCGTTCACTATCATCGCATCTTGCTGGCCGCTCAGTGTGGTCATCACACGACGATAGATCTCGCTGTAGGGTGTGGCATCGCGGGTAGTCCAGGCAATGTTTGTGGAGCGATATTGAATGCGATTGCGGCCCGCCTGTAGTTGAGTGTTGATTGCATCCAGAAGCACAAAGTCTGAGCGGCGCTGCTCTAGGTTCACCTCACGGCCAGCGGCATCCTGACGTGGTCCCAGAAAGAGGCGCACGATGACATCCTGTGGGCGCTCTGAGCTCATGTCCATGTCAATGGTAAAGGGCTTGTTGTTCAGGCGACGCTGGCGCACCATCATTTGCACTTGTTGCGGCTGATCCAGCAGGCTGCTCACGTCCATGTCACTGTCCTCGATGCGGGTGCGCAGTTTGCCGACGCGCACAGCGTTAATGGTCACATCCCGCATGTCCAGCTGCTCGCGCCTATAAACGCCGAGCTGCTGCTCGCGCAGATCATCCACAATGCTTATGATTCTGCGGAGAGTGTGCTGCAACAGGCGGTCACCCATGCTGACTCCCAGCCCGGAACGATCCAGCTGAACGTTGGCATCTTGGAGCAGCTCACGCAGGATGCGCAAGATACCAATATCACCCAGGCGTCCCATTAGCACATCACCAATCAGACTCTCGATGCGAAGCTGTTCATCAATCTGCTGCACTCCAGATCCTGTCATGCGGTTAACGCCGATGTTGCCATTGCCCATCTCGCGGACCACACGACCAATCACCTGCTGCAAACGGCCCTCGATGGCATTGATTTGCTCAATCAGCACCCGGTTGCGACGTGAGTCCAAGCGCATCTCGTTCAGGCGCACTGCATAACGTTGAGTCTGATCTTGGTTAGGCATGATCAAACGGGAATTGTCGATTAGCTGCATCTCGTCTTTGCCCAGTCGTCCAGCAATGCGCTCCTGGTTCAAGCGTGCCAACAGCTGGCGTAAAGTGTGCAATATCATTTCACTGCGACGGGTCGTTTGCTCCACCATGGGGTTGACCAAGCTGCGTCGGTAGCGGTGTCCCTGCTCCACAATTGTGTGATCTTCGTTCTGTTGTTTTTCCTGCTCCTTGCGCTGGCGATTGCGACGCAGCATCTCGATGATCTCATCATCGCTGAGATGAACTAGACGATTGTCGCGGCGAATCAGCTGCATAATGTCCTCCACCTTCATGGTGTCTTCGCCGTCCACGCGGCGACCCTCTCCAATAGGACTAATGCGACGAGGAGTCATGATATCCATGGGCTGATTAAGACGGCGTCTATTAATGTGCACCAATTGCTCATCATCGCGACTCATGGTTTCCAGGTTGTCGGTACCACGGTGCCAGTCTTCGTTCCGGCTCTTGCTGATCTGATCCTGTTCCAGTTGAACCTGGTTTACACGGCGTCCTTCGCTCAGACGGTCGTCACGTACTATGCCCATAAAGCGTTCCTTTTCTGTTTGCTCCTTGCGCTGGCGATTGCGACGCACCATCTCGACGATCTCCTCATCGCTTAGCTGACCTAGACGATTATCCTTGCGTATCAGCTGTACAATGTCCTCATCCTTCATGGTGTTCATGTCACCCACGCGACGACCTTCTCCAATGGGATTAATACGACGCGGTGTCATGATATCCATGGGTTGATCCAAGCGACGTCTGTTGATGTGCACCAGGCGCTCGTCATCACGTGAAACGGTTTGCAGGTTCTCGTTACCATGGTTCAACTCTTCGTCCTGGCTGAGATGGCGTTGAATATTCCAGGTCTGACCCTGTTGTGTTTGTTCTTTGCGTTGGCGATTACGACCCAGCATCTCGACGATCTCCTCATCGCTTAGCTGACGCAGACGATTATCTTTGCGTATTAGCTGCACAATGTCATCATCCTTTATGGTGTTCATGTCACCCACGCGACGACCTTCTCCAATGGGATTAATACGACGCGGTGTCATGATATCCATAGGTTGACCCAAGCGGCGTCTGTTGATGTGTACCAGGCGCTCGTCATCACGTTGAACAGTTTGCAGGTTGTCGGTACCACGGTTCAAGTCTTCGTCCTGGCTGAGATGGCGTTGAATATTCCAGGTCTGACCCTGTTGTATTTGCTCCTTTCCCTGGCGATTGCGACGCACCATCTCGACGATCTCCTCATCGCTGAGGTGACCTAGACGATTATCCTTGCGTATCAGCTGTACAATGTCCTCATCCTTCATGGTGTCCATGTCACCCACGCGACGACCTTCTCCAATGGGATTAATACGACGCGGTGTCATGTTATCCATGGGTTGACCCAAGCGACGTCTGTTGATGTGCACCAGGCGCTCGTCATCACTTGAAACGGTTTGCAGGTTGTCGGTAAGCTGTTGTTCGCTATCCTGCTTGAGGATTCCGCGCATGTCAGTCTGCTCCTGGCCCACTCGATCTTCCCGGATGCCACCCAACATTCTTCTAATACCCTGTCCTATGCCACGCAGCAGAGGCACACGGCTGCCAGGCAGTTGAGCTCCGAACAGGACTTCTTCATCGTCCTCATCGTTGCGGACCATAACACGCTCACGCTGGTTCTCGCTCTCGTTGTCATCTTCGTTCTGCTGTTGCTGCATACGGCGACGGTTGACACCCAGCAGACGATCGTTGTTGATGTCGGAGTTACCTTGACGACGCTGCTCCACCTCCAACTGCCTTACCATATCGTTGTCATTTTCCATGTCGAGCATCTGACGGGTATTCGTAGTGTCCTCAAGCAGGGCCAGCTCTTGGATTAGATTCTGCATGAAGTTGCGCAAGCCAATATCCTCAGTCAGCAGCGAAATGTCCTGGTCTCCTTGCAAGGTCTGAATGGGCAACACCACACGATTCTGGATCTGATGCTGCTGTATCTCTTGCCTTCTCAGCGCCATTTGCATGTGCAGATCCCGCCATGGCATAACCATCCGCATCACAGGATTAATCTGACGCATACGTTGGCCAAGACCAACCAGATCCATGAGAGAGGGACGCGGACTGCCCTCCACCTCAGATTGCATACGCTGAACTTGCTCAATCGTCTGCTGGTCGAGATAAAGTTCGGGCAATATCTCCTGAACGGCGGGCATGATCAAGATTTGGGTGTCCTCGCGATCGCGGATGGCCAGAGTTAGGGCATTGATCAACAGCACGGGATTGATGTTGCGCCTCAGATAGATGACATTGCGCTGCAGTGTCTCAAAGTCGAGGGCGCGCACCAGCAGGCGATAGATGCCGCGCAGCTGCTGCACATGCTCCACATTACGTATGCTATAGATCTGGTGCTCATCCAGCAGCCGGCGCTGACGATCCAAATCGATGACGCGCTGCATCTCTCCATCAATGCCACCTCGATAGCGCTGTGCATCCACAATCAGGCCCTGGTCCAGCTGTATAAGATCATCCTGCTGCAATGGCTGTTGAACACGCTGCACAAGGTCCAGAAGAAACTTTTGGCGCTGCAAGTCCTGCCTGGACATGCGTTCTATGCGCTGATCAGCTGCAAAACAAGGTGAGATCACATGGAATTTAGCGCTTAATCCCTGCTGGGAAACTTACCAGTGCCAATTTCAGCCTGCCAGTCACGCTGCAGGATGCGTCCAGCGGATACGGTGCCAAGCACACACGCTACCAGCACGAGAAGTTTGTTCATCTTGTTAGTAGCTCCTTCCTTACAAACCAGAAGGCGACTGCATTTTTGGCTTCACTCAGAGCCGCATTTATACCCATTCTTATCGCCTGGCCTACGTAGGCCTACGTAAATATTTTCAGTATTCGCTCTGAACTGGCAACAAAATGTTTATCTGCTCAATCCCAAAGTACATTATGCAATTACTTATAGACTGGTCAGTCAGCTGAGTCGAAATTGCGGCCAGAGGTCAATAGATTGCACAGTGGCTGCATTCGGTGGGTTGATTGGTTGCTGCTGCAGATAACGGGTCATTTTAAGACGCTGCTTAATTAGGCCATTGCCCTGAGGATCCATAGCTTTTGTTTGCTGCCTTTGTTTATGCATCAATAACCAGAATTCTGCTGCCATGCAGGCTGTAAGTTATCTGCACATGTTTCCATTGACCGGGCACTCAGTATCGATTATATGTTTAAGCACCTGACCAGGTGTCATATATACTTTTTTCAAATCTTTGCAATTTGATCGTGCAAGTGAAGTTTCAAATTTTTCCGTTACCTATAGACGTTTTAAATTTAACGATCTGTTTGCCTGCCAAAAGTGGAGTGCGATAACCTGTCCAGTAAGCAATATATCGATACGCGTAAATATGATAAATTTAACGATCTGGCTGCCTTTCAATAGTGGACTGCGATAATCTGCGTAGTAAGTAATATATCGATATATGATATACGATACTTATTGCCAATCAGATCCCTTGCGAGCACTGTTGCCAACTATTTTATTGTTTTCGTGCGTGTTTTAGATATTTGCATTTTGAACGAAACAAAAAGTGATACCAAAACGGTGAGCGTTACATAAAAAATAGAATCTAAAAGTGTGTGCATCATTGCGACCAAGTTATAGTACACGGCAGAATACGTCACGGTGCAGCGTGTAGTTTGCGAGCAGCAAAAAATGGGTAAGTCTGGGCTCGTGGCCATTGTTATGATTGGGGACAACCGAGTGATTGGCGATTGTGAAAGGATTCTGGCAACTCTGAGGGGCGCTTGCAATTTTTCTATTCACATTTAAATTGGCAATTCGTTTGGCCGTGGCTTTTGTGTGTGTGTGTGTGTTTTTTTTTTTTGTTGCTCCTTTGGATGCGCTGCGTTGCGACAATTTGCAACGTGCCTGGCATGCAACGGAAGTCAACGCGCTACGTGGGTGCCACATTGCCAGGGCTAGGGCTAGGGCTAAACTGTGGCCATTGTTGCCGCTGCTGTTGCCGCTGCTTTTGCTGCCTTTTCTAATGTAATTGCAATTGTTTGCCGGCCTGGCAAATGGTCAGCAACTTTGATTTTGCCTTTTGCTGCTGCACTTTTTCAACTCTTTGCAACAAAATGATGAAGGCTCAGCATTTTTATGCATGCCAAGCGCATTTGTCCGCCGTTAATTGCTTCTTTATGTCCAGCTGCTGCTGCTGCTGCTCCAGCTGCATGTTCAGCAATTATGCAGCGACAATTTTGCATTAATTGCTCCTTTGTGCACGCCCGCCCAGCAGCCCGCTGCGTGGGCGGCGTTGCCACTTTTTACGCGTGCCTACAGGAAAAAAAGAACCTAAAAAAAGGAGCCGGGCATTGTTCGCGAATGCATTTGCTGCTCTCTGAATGCCGCTGTCCAGTGCTCAGTTTAATTGCTGACTGCCTCATTTGCAACAGCCACAGCCATGGAGTAATCCTGTCCATGGGCAATTTCATTAATTCAGCATGCCAGATAAAGAAGCTGGCATACAATTTTAACTGTTTATTGAAAAAACAAAATTGGGAAACACAATTAAATGAAACATGTTATTTATTTTGCCTGCATATTTTGCTGATCAACACAAATGAATTTTCATGATGTGGTGGACTCACACAATGTCTGACAGGGCAACTCTACTCTGGTCCTAAGTACTTTCTAGTCGGGCACTCCCGACGAGAGTACATTTGCTCGCTTGTCTTGTCTGTATTCATCTGCAATACGAAGACCAAATTATGAAAATGTATATATTCATTAAGATTATCGATATTTATAAGACTTTATATTCCATGATTCTACTTTAAGCTTCACGCTCCTTGGCAAACCAGAAACCATATGATAAGCTGTACATATCCTTCACACTGAAGTGGGAATGCCAAGGCATCAGTATCTTTGCATGTCTTCGTCCTTGTCGGCCTGCTGCCAAGCAAATGAAGTATAAGCCGGTCGCAGGGGGCGGTGGTTGATTTCGTTCCGCATTCTGCGTCTCGCCCTGACTTAAATGCGATTTAATGCCTTTTTTGTTTGTCTTCCATGCGTCGGATATCCGTTGACGCAGTGGGCGTGATAAACCGCAGTTGCGGAGCAGGAGCAGCGGGAGCAGGAGCAGCAGCCGTGTCAGACGGCTTTATCCTCGCTCCCATCCCGTTGCACGTTCCTCAACTGTGTCGCTAATTTGCTTGGCGTTTTTTATGTCTCATCTTCGCCTTGGCGTCTTAATCTTATATCCTTTTTTTGGCTGGCTTGGCACTTAAAAAATGTAGTCTTTTGTTGGACCGATAAAACTGCTTACAAATGCTTAAAAAATTAAAATTTATTACACGCGATTATGGGCCGCACAGGCAGCTGGAAAGAAAAACGCTTACAAGTCAAGTCCCTACTGGCGTCGTTGCCCGCTTTTCAAATATCAGAGAGATGCAAATGGAGTGCCATCTTTTTCGGTTCACCATATTTCCGGGCAATGGACATTGCCCAATTGATTCATGACCCCACAATATCCTCTGCGTAATGGCCAATGGTCTAGGCTACCTTAAAGAGCCAGCTTCAGCAAAATAATAAGAGGGCGCACAAAAAATAAATATAAATATACTACTTCATAGTAATAATGAAGCGCGCAGGGCCAAAAGAAAAGTGCCACACACCAACGCATGGCAAAAAGAAAATATTTCTTTTTATCGAAACGGATGTGAGTGTGCCAGGAATGAAATAGCAGCAAAAAGAAAAAAGGCGCTGGGCATGGAAGAAGGTTAAGAAGCAACCAGGCGATGTCGTTCCAAATAAATAAAACAAAAATTTGTACTCTAGTATGGGGAGGGCGGGTAGAATTCTGGGCTACTAAATTTCATTGCCACTTTTGTCACCTCTTCATCCACGCCCCTTCAGACCGCACACAGACCAAACCAAACAACTTTCTTTTCACACGTTTCTCGTTTGTTCCACTCGCAGTTTTTGTTTGTCTTGAAACAAGTGACTTGAGAGAACCAGAACCAAATTGAAAGAGCTCTTAAAGTGTGAGTGTGATCTGTGTGTGTGTGTGTGCGTGTGTGCCTGGTATTGGGGTGAGCGCACGTGTCCTGCGCGTGTCTGCTAGTTTTGATAGCTATTGACTCTTGCCGAGTCCTGTAAGTAGTTGACCCGTTAAATTTTGATAATTGATTTGCCATTGTTTTCTCCTTAAACTGGTTGAGAATTCGCAAACAGCTTATATGAATACACACAGTAGTTACATAGTGTTCCTTTCCACTACAGAAAAACTTTATATTTGAACAGAAAATGTTGCATACATCTAGGCGTAACTTAACCAGCTGTCAACTAATTATTTTCTTGGGGGCATAGCCAAGGCTCTATCACTTAATTACCAGATCTTTGGACCGTTTGACAAGCCAGTTCCCCTCTGGTTTTCCGCATTGTGCGAGCTGGGGGGGTGGGGTTTATTGTCAACGTGCGCCTGGTGGGCGGCCTGACAACTTCCATTGGGCAAATATTTTTGTAGCATTTCGTAGTGTTTCGCACAAGTGATTTGCACTGTGACTGTGCCTCGACTCTGGCCTTTGGGTGAGGTCAAATACAAACAACGGGGCGCTGTCTTTATTGCTGGTTTTGCTGGCTCTCGGACCAGGACACTATAAAAACGACCTTGCGGCAACAAAAGGCAGCCAGACGTGAGCTCTCATTCGCTTTCGCTCTGTCCTTCTGTGTGTTTGTGTTTGCGTGTGTGTGTGTGTGTGTGTGTGTGTGTGTGTGTGTGTGCGCAGACAATCAGCGCACGACTTTTGCCTGCCGGGTTGGAGCTGTCAGGAGGCTGGAGGCTGGGGGTTGCATTGGTTGATTGAGGGGGAGGGTAAGGGTGGAAAGGGCACTCTTTGGACAGACGTCGCGCGTTCGCTTTCTTATCAGCACTTTGGCTGCGATGCAGCGTGGCATTTGTGTGAGTTTTATGTGCGGCTTTTGAGCTGGTTATGATGCCGTCGCAATTGCTACAGCGCACATCCCACCCTGTTGGCGGCTTCTGCAGGCTGCTTCTTTGTTTTGGTCGTCAGCTGAAAAGGTGTCAATTGTTTTCTACTTTTTTTTGTCATTGCGCCACGCCTCATCGCAACTCACAGTCGGTTGCATAAACAAGTGGGCGTAGTGAATCCCATTAAGCGTTAAGAGTTGAGCTCTGAGCGCTCAGCGCTGATCAACCCCCCTGAATGGTAGACAACCCCCCGAGCGGCCGGCAATTTAAACTAATAATCAACGCATCAGCAAACATTGTCGTTATTATTCACGCGCCTGTGGCGCCCCCTGGCGGTTGACTGCTGACAGATTGCCTGACTGGTTGGGTGATTATGCTTGTGTGTGTGTGCGTGTGTGTGTGTGTGTGTGTGTGTGTATCTGTGTGTGGGACTTACAAGTGTTGGCATCAATCAGCGGGGCGTGTGCTATTTAAAAATCGTTTATTCGTTTACAGTTTGAATTTTGCATTCATTTTGTATCACATTAAAATACAGATTTTTATATTACACAAGATCGGACTGTTTGGATTTACCTCAACATTATATATTAAATATATATATATATATATATATATTAGTTATACAGCACTACAAAATTAAAGAAAACAAGGCTCTGTGTTTAAACTATTAATTTTGCTGTGGCCACAGTTAATTAAAACTGAAACAATTTAAAAAAAGGAGTCTTAACTTGTAAAGAAAAAAGGACCAATAAGTATTTCTAAAATATTCAAAATAATCAAGAATATATTCAAGCTGTAAGCTTCAAAAATGAGCTCAATGTGCATTCAAACTTTAAACTAAACGTGCTTTAAAGCGGTTTAAAATTTAAAGAAATTCCTTTGATTGCAATTCTAATACCCGACAGATGAGTTTACCTGAAAATAAATCTCCTGTAGTTTCGTCTAAACAAGAATATAGTCATACGTCAAGTTTATAGGAACAATTTCGATTTTTTATTTATTTCCGTTGCCGCTTAAAGATCTGCTTAGTTATTTGGCGTCCATTTTTAATAATATTTCATTTCTATATACAAAACTGAGTACCACACATAACCAAAATGAATAGTTCGAACACAGTTCGGGGGGGAAGAACAGAAACATGCAACATAAAACATAAGACATAAACTCACAAAGATTCAGCTAACACTAGGGTGTTCTACACTAGCAAGTGGGCAGCTCGTATTGCTGCTACCAGTTTGGGGCGGAGCACAGAGGGGGCGGGGACTGTTGTCGGTACCGAGTGACTGCTGATGCTCCAACTTTAGACCGCATGCTCCGCAGCGGCAGCGCCGTAGCGCAGCGGAGTCGGTCAAATAATGTTGGGCGGCGTTGTGGCTAATGCTGGAACGACTGCCACGGGCGAGGACTTAGCCGATTTGACACAGCCATAGGATGAGATGCCTGTGCCGCTGCTGCTGGGCGGGGAGGGCGGAGTTTCTGGACTGATCAGCGGCAAGTAGCGCCATGGATGATATATGCTGCCGGCATACATGGCCTGAAGACGCGCCTGCAGATCCAGCGCCAATGTCGGATCCAGCGGATAATGCCCCAGACCCGGAAAGCCACCGGGCACGCGTGGCAGCGTCAGCTCCAGCGGCGACCCAAAGCCATACTTGGCGGCCAGCGAGGTGGGTGAGTGCGAATGGGAGTGGGAGACGGCGGCGGCGGCAGCAGCAGCTGCGACGGCGCTCAGCTGCGCGTGATGATGATGCGCATGCGCATGGGCGTGGGCGGGATGTGGATGCGGTAGGTGTGGGTGATGCGGGTGATGATGCGGTAGGCCTGGCCCATGTGGCGAATGCTGCGCTTGGGCTTGCTCCTTGCCCAGTTGACCAGCGGCCGACAAACCAGAGCTGCTGCTGGATGCTCCTCCGCCGCCGCCGCCGCCGCCGCCACCTCCGCCCGGCACTGGTGACTTGTTCAGTGTCTTGGGCTTGCGGCGCGGCCGATATTTGTAATCGGGGTGCTCTTTCATGTGCAGTGCGCTGTAAATAAAGTAAATGTTGAAACATTGATCAAAGATCGGGCCACGGCATCGATATTAAAACGATTGAACGATGGCGATGATATCACAAAGTCAATCGGTTGCCCTGTTCCCTGGGCCATAAAAATGAAGCCGCACAATTTAAGCTGTTCTATTGCGCAACTACGGGATACCCTGTAAAACATGTTATAACAGGCTGAAAGCCGACAGGCCGTAGCCCAACTCTATACCTATAAGAGTGTATCTTTGAATAAGCTGAAATGTTTGCTAAAATTCGAACCATCTTCACATTTTTGTTGCCTTATCTTGTATAGATTGAAATTCATTAGTTATATTTGATGCTGTATATCTATTTACAGCAATCTCTGGCATACCCGCCTTTAACTTTGGGTGTAGGGTATACGAACTGTAGCCAAAACCCTTCCATAAAACCTCGCTCTCCTGCAAGACTCAGCGCTTATCTGAGCATTTAGCAAGGCAGAGTTTCTAAAGTTCTGGAGTTCTTCGAGTATTCCCAGCTGCAACAATGCGCAATTGTTGACATTTGTTTGACAAACGATAAATGTTGATAAAAGGTGTGTATTATGGATTCTTGTTCTTGCTCATGTTCCTCTTGTTCTTGCTTTTGTGGCTGTTGTCACTTTTGCTTTCTTTGCTTGAACTACCTTCAGCTTTGTTGCAGTTCCCATACCCAAATTGGTCAGCCCTGTTATCTCTGCCCAAAAAAAAAAAAAAAAATAAATAAATGGAAAAGAAGTAATATTGAATTTTTGAAATGATATGCGAGTGTGCCGCCTTATCGACGCCTCGCACATTGGCAAATATTTGAACAGTGTTGCTTGTTTTCGAATATGATAGTTGTTTATTTTTTTTTAATTTACTTTATTATTTATTTAGTTGTCTTAGCCGAAACCCGAATGGCCATCGGGCTAAGTCCAAGCTAGGCTCATTATTGAATGGCAGTCAAATAATCAATCAATAAAAGGATTAGCATAGTTATCAAAGTAGTTTATATGTTTTGTTGCTCAAACCCAAATGGAGTGCAAAATTGAAGGCTCAACAAGCCACAAAATAGAATAGAATAGAATTCAATAGAATTATTTACCCAAGATAGGCCAATGGAATATACAACCGCCCCCAGAGTTGCAAAAGCCTACTCAATGCGGTTTTAGAGCCTCACAATAGCTGCCCATTGTCTTAGCTAATCGCTTAAATTGTGACCAGACGACAAACCCACACACGGATATACTCACACACACACACACACACACACACACACTCACACACCCACATGCACATAGATATACTCACCGCAAACGCTTGGCCTCATCAATGAATGGACGCTTCTGTGATTCGGTGAGCAACTTCCACTCGGCACCCAAACGCTTCGATATCTCTGAATTGTGCATTTTGGGATTGTCCTGCGCCATTTTGCGTCGCTGGCCCCGGGACCATACCATGAACGCGTTCATTGGTCGTTTAATGTGGTCATGATGCGAGTTGCCATTCGAGTTGGAGTTGGTGCTGTGCTGTTGCTGTTGTTGTTGCTGTTGTTGCTGTTGTTGTTGCTGTTGCAGCTGCAGCTTGGGCACCGCCGGAGGCGGCGGCGGCGGTGGCGGTGTTGTGGCCGCTTTGATTGTCCTCGGCGGTGAGAGGCTGCTGCTGTGGTGACTGTGACTGCTGCTCCCGCTGCCGCTGCTCGTGTAGCCATTGCTATTATGGCTGTGACTGTGACTGCGATGCAGCAGTGCCGAGATGCTCGTCATGGCTGCCACCTAATATTGTGTGTGTGCTGGGTTCGTCAGGTGAGTGGCCCGATCCAGGGGTTCCAGTGCGGTGCACTGACCGCTTCCTCTATACGTGTATGTGCTGAAATGCAAACGGTAATGGAGTTCAATAGCTATGCTTTGTTTGTGGCACGGCATCCCATCGAGGGGTACTACAATGGGTTGCCCAACAAAATGTGATAACTGCGAAGGGGGGCTTGATTCAGAAATGAGTAATCATAGGGGAATAGTATTATGCTGAAGCCGACCACTTCAAAATATTTGCACAGTGTAGTGTATTTTTATTATAGATACAATAATTACTGGAAACTCAAAGCCAGAACTTCCTTCGCCTAAAGTTTATAGGGATTTTAATTGTATTCCTTAAAAACTAGGGAATGCAGGCTTGTACGCAATTCTAAAATTAGCATTAGCTGGGAGAAGTAGGGATCTACACAATACCCACAGACTGATCGTATTTATTATTTTTAACTGTTTATCTTCTTTTATACAAAGCCTTCTATTTATTCTTTTGAGTTTAATGTAAAGACTAAAACTAACAATAATCTTCCATCAGGAATTGGCATTAGTATTCGGGATTTTCAGAAACAGACGACTTCTTTTATTTATATATGGAGTGAACGAAAGACATAATTTATATTGCCTTAGATCTTGTTCAGAATATGAATTTTAGATCTTAGATCTTGTTCAGTATATAAATCTTAGTATGTACAGTGCAGTGAATTTTATAGATTTTTTTTAAATATAGCTGTCAAACCAATAAAAAAATCGAATTGATCAATGAAACTATGTGCAAATAAACATGAATCAGCTAGGGTGCTTATCTATTTTCATGATATAATTGAGTTACCTTTTGTACAGCTGCGGATCTGATGCGTAATCCTGAGAAGAGTAAACTTTAATGGGCTTAGTTTAAGCTCACACTTCTAAATTATTTCAAGCACTCATGGGTTTTAATTGTTATTCTTTTTGAATATGCCTTGCATGAGATTAGATCGTGTGCTTTTTAAAATATTGTTAGATGTGCACTATCTAATTTCTATACACTCTGTTCAGTTATAATCCCGATCTAAACACTTTCGATAACACTTGACAAACGCCTTTGTGCGCCACTCGAAGATTCGTTTCCACTTTATTGTTGACTGAACTAACCCCGAGCCGTGTGCGAGCTGCCGGAGCCGGTGCGTCCGTGTCGAGTGCGCGACAATTTTGATTTGAAACACACATTCTATGGGCTAAGCGCACAATCTATGGATGGCATTCGAAAACTTGCGACAGTTGGCGGAACAAAAACGGGCAAAACGGCAAACAAAAACTGAAATCAACTCAACTCTGTGTATGTGTGCATGTGTGTGTGTGTATGTGTGTGTGTGTGTGTGTGTGTGCGGGGGGTAAATTTGTTATTGTAGTGGTTGCATGTCGGCTGCTCGCATTGTGCGCCACAGGAGCGAGCAAGAGCCAATTAGCGTGCGACAGAGAGCGAGCGCGCGAGAGAGAGAGCGAGTGCGCGACGGGTGTTTGTAGAGTTTGTTTTCTTCTTCTTCTTTTTTTTTCTTGTTAATTTTTTTTGTCGTAACTGTTCGGAGGACGCAGGCATCTCGACAACGCGTCGGCTAAGTGATAAAATTTGCTGCTGCTCTTCGCCTTTCTCACATTTCTTACCTTCTGCGATTTGAGTGCGTGTGTGTGTGTGTGTGTGTTTGCATTTGTATATGTGCTTGTGTTTGCTTTTCTTTTTTTTGACCAAGATAATATCTTGCACAAAAACTACAGATATGTTTATTAATTTGCTTTTCTTATTGTAAGATTTGTGTGTGATTATCTCGACCAAATATTCAGTTGCTTATCAAAATTTGCCGGCTTACTTATTTGCGCCCGCAATCGATCGTCCGATTCCGATCGCTCTGCACGCGATTATCTTGTATAAATGCCCTGCACACAATTGTAGCTGCACTGAGATACCCTTTCGCTGTCATTGTTTGGAAGGGGAGTCTCTAGTTCAATTGCCCTCCTTGTTTGTTGTGAGCTGTACAGGAAATTCGTCATTCGGTAGTGCATGGTTTTCCATATAATTGAGGCGATAAAATGTTAAATTTGTTTCAATAAGCAATTGGGGTCGAACACGAATAATCCACTTTAATAAATGAGCGTCTCTTGTGAATGTGTGTTGTTCCAGGAATTATATTCTAAGGAATATAAAATAAAAAGATGTTCCCTTAACATGTTTGCGAAGTTCCCCTTGATGCACATTTTGAAAATATTTTCCCGCCAAATCGCACAAGTTTTCTTTCCTTAGTTCTGCGCAGGCGTCGCTCTCCAAAACGCGTGACTCGTTGTGTAGACTTTTTGGCTGCCAGCTAGTGTATGGGGTAAGGGAATAAGAAGCAAACGCCCCCCTCTGCCCGTGACAATAAAAATGGCAGCGCTATGAACTGCCACCCACACTCCCCACCCTCGACACTAGAGCCTTTGCCGCGCGCATGTCGACGCTCGCCTGGCGCTTTGGCCAATGGCATAGACAATGCTCTGGAGGAGTGGGAGCAATGCGGCTGCTTAGACGCGTTCTCAATGGTGACGGGTTTTTTATCGTTTTTGTTTTGCATGCGAGCTGAATGCATTTTATTGGCCAAGGCACAGCGCCAAGACAATGGCCAGCAGCAACTGGTGGCCACAGTTTTGTTTGACTTCTGCTTCTGCTTCTCCAACTACGACTGTTCGCTCATTCAACTGTTCCTGCTGTCGCTGCTGCTGCTGCTGCTGCTGCAGCTGCTGCAGCTGGTGCTGCCTTCTGGCAAGTGTTATCGTGTCCTGGCACACACTATGCCAGCTGCCATTTGTTGTCGCATAATGGACATTATGGCTGCTCTATTATGCCCAGCAACAGGACAATGAGCTGAACGTCGTTGAATTGCCAACTAACAAAAATTGCTCTCCTTTCGCCAGCGACCCAGACTTGAACCGAGACCAGCACACGGACCGGGTCTGCTGTGTGATTGCCATAATTTTGGGTATTTATGATGCGCTTTTTATGGCATTCCGCCAGTCCCTCGACTGCTCCAACTCAGCCCTCACTCATTGTCAGCTGAATTCGCATTGTTTGGCTGCATTTTAGCTGCGGATATGTATGGGCAGTCGTCCAGTATGTCGCCCTCGCCCACACTGCCATGCGCGTGGTTGTTTTTTTTTATTAACCCAAAATGGAAATGTGGCTTGCTAATCGTGATTTGTGTTTTAAATGAGCGCAGAGGACATCCAAAGCGAAAACTGAGTATGGAGTTGAGTGGACACTACTGGAAGTGGGTAAACTGTGGGCGTGGAATGTCTGTGTACGACGAGTGGAATCTGATACCGACCTACGACTGACCGTGCAGGCCAACAGTTGCTAGACTGATGGTAGATAGAAAAATAAAGAGAGCATAAGGAATGATTTTAGAATGCAATATCTATTGTGGTAATTTAGCGTTTATCTGCTAACATCTAATTTTTGAAAGTAATACCTTTCCGCCTTTCAGATGGCGGAGTCCAAAAATCAACATTTTTATTGATCTGCTAACATCTGATTTTTTAAAGTAATACCTTTCTAGAGAAGCCTACAATCGATTGTCCTTCAATAAAAGATAATAATCAAGGGGTATAGAATTTGTGGATAAAAAACGGTCATGATGTCGAACTTTATGATGGAGTTATGTCGCTTTGAAACGTCAAACGTCTCCAAAAATCAAAATTTGTATTGATCTGCCGATTTTCAAGGCATTTTAAACGTATATATTTTTAAAATCGGACTATTTTAAATTAACAATTTTTCATTTTATTTATTTCAGCCAAATTTACCACGTCCATGGACAACATACATATAACCAGCAAGTGATCGCTATTCATGGTACCTAGTTGACCTACATATCCTTGGTTATTCCATATCATGGATATAGTCCTAGTGAACCTAAAGGACCGAGTTCTAGCAAAATGCGCACGAACATGGTCCAAAAATATGTATGCTTCTCTTTTACAGCTGCCCCCAACAGCAGTTCCGCCCCTTTGGATGGTTCATAGTTGACTAACATATCCTTGGTTATACTATACCATTGATACAGTCCTTTTGAACCGAAAGGATCAGAACTCTGCAAAATGTGCATTGAAATGGTCCAAAAACATGTATGATTTTACTTTCAGGAGCCCTTTTACATTAGCTGTAGCTGCAGCTGTTGTTTAACAGCCGCCTTACAGCACTCATTTTACATAGACTGCTAATGAACAGCACTCATTTTAATTGAGTTACATTTTGCCCCTTAATGCTATGCAATGAAAATTTTTATTCAAACCACTCGTCGACCTTCTGGGCATTTCTGTTCGCCTGGTATTTGAGTGGAATTTTAGGGCAAATTTGGGATGTAGCCGCCGACCAGGGCGCCCCGTGAGGGTATGCAATGAATTTTTTCGGGCGCAAAAATTTTGTACGTCGACCTTCTGGGCATTTCTGTTCGCCTGGTATTTCTGGGAAATTTTAGTTAAAATTTGGGACTTGCCGAGGGCGCCCTTTTGGGTATGCAATGAAATTTTTTATGCAATTAAAAATATTTTTTTCGACCTTCTGGGCATTTCTGTTCGCCTGGTATTTTGGCAGATTTTAAGAAAAATCTCGGCAACTTTTTCGCGCTGTGATATGACGTTCTAAAACGACATAACTCCGCGCGGAGATATGACATTCCAAAACGACATAACTCCGCGCGGAGATATGACGTTCCAAAACGACATAACTCCGCGCGGAGATATGACGTTCCAAAACGACATAACTCCGCGCGGAGATATGACGTTCCAAAACGACATAACTCCGCGCGGAGATATGACGTTCCAAAACGACATAACTCCGCGCGGAGATATGACGTTCCAAAACGACATAACTCCGCGCGGAGATATGACGTTCCAAAACGACATAACTCCGCGCGGAGATATGACGTTCCAAAACGACATAACTCCGCGCGGAGATATGACGTTCCAAAACGACATAACTCCGCGCGGAGATATGACGATCCGCCGACGAGGGCGCCCCTTTGGGTATGCAATGAAATATTTTCGGCAGCTAAAAATATTGCTTGTCGACCTTCTGGGCATTTCTGTTCGCCTGGTATTTTGGCAGATTTTAAGAAAAATCTCGGCAGCCAGCGGTTGCCAACAGACGCCACTGGTGGATATAAAATGGATTCTAAAGACCGTTGATTTTTGGATTTTTAAATAAAAAAACAGGAATTTCTCTTCTTTATTTTTTATATATTTGCTTTATTCATGTTTAAATTTATAAAACTGTTTTTTATGCTAGTTTTCCTAATTAATTCTCTTAAAATTATACAAATCAAGCACACATAAATTATATTTTTAGCTGATTGAAACTTAAAATAACTATTTCTGGCTTAATTAAAGTCCGATCCTGGAAAAATCTACTTTGTCACTAGTAAAGGTCCTTAGAGTTCATTGTAGTCCTTAATTTGTTGGTCTGAAAAGATAGAAACACATTTAAATTAAACATATAAAAATTTATATAAATGCGGAAAATTGACCATAACTCGGGCATGTCCTTGCAGATTTTCAAAGGACATGGTGCGTTAGGATCGTATAGACCCCCTGCATCAACCTGCATCATAATAATATGGGGTCATCTAAGAATCATTTGACTCGAAATTGGACTTATAAAAATTCTGTCCCGGAGCGCACGGAAATGTCCCGAAAACACAATTCTTTAAATATCTTCCAAACTACAAGGACGATCCTAACGTAATTTGGGCAGTTGGTAGTCCTAATCAACACAATTATTTTGACATATGACTCGTCAGGACACGCAAGGACATGGTCGAGTTATGGCTTATTTTCTTCAAACAAAATCGTCCTTTAAACTTTTTTATCTGAAGGACTTTCGTCCTTTGGGTTATAAATTCTTTAATGGGGTGCCGAGGGCTATTTAATGGCGAAAGGACATCCCGAAAGTCCTTCAAATGGCAAAGTTAGTTGGCAAATTTTCGACTTTGGCCAATTTTGCGACTAACCCCCTAGGATAAATTTTGATGAAATTTTTTGTCAAATTCTACAAATCTTTGAATGCCAATCGATAGTCTTGCTCTCTGCGACTTCAATGCGATATATCCTTTCGATATCCTTACGGATTTGTCCGAGTTATGGCTAAATAAAAAATGGCCTTCTTCGAAAATGGGCCATATCTCGGAAGCGGCAAGGACGATTTTGTTGTCCTTTGGACCGTTTATGGTCCTTGCTCATACTATTTTTTTAAAATAGGACATGTCAGGATCTGCTAGGATCCTGTTAAATTACGAAAGAATTGTACTCATATCAATGCTGTCTAAATGACTTTCGTCCTTTTCATTATATATACTGAATTGGGCGGATGAGGACTTACGGTTGGCAAATCACCAAAAAATGGGGTCCATTTGAAATTCAGACCATTTTTGAAGTAAATTTTGAATATATCTTGTATAAATTGCATCAGATTTTTGAAAGTAATACTCATTGAGATGCCCTACTATCGATTGAAACATTAAAAGTTAAAAAAATATTGTCGATAATTGGTAAATAAAGTCTTGTATTGTTGAAGCTGCTTCATAATTTTGTTAATCGGTTCTGAAAAAAATTAATATCGAAATGACCAACTATAGATGGCGGCAGCAACCTTTTGAGCCTTCACCACCTATTGTTCATTAACATACTTACCTTTAAATTAGAGTTTGCGCTTTGGCGACTGGTTGATAAACATGCAGCTTACATGGGGCGACATCTGTCGGGTGTTTGCACAATCCGACGACATTTGATGGTGGCATCTGTGCTTGCAACTGTGTGGCGCCATCTAGGTTTGAAAGTAGCCTCGGATTCCTCATCAATCGAGACATCTACAATATGGTTAACAAGTAAAGAGGTTATAGTCGGGAGCTCCCGACTAAAATATGGTCATTAATGGAATTTCATGAGTCTCATCTTCGCATCTACGTTTAATACACTCCATATATAAGTTTAGCATACCCTTCCGCTCCGCCGTTAAGCCAGCCTGCCACTAATTGCGGCTGCGCGCAAAGCGGCGTAAAATTAATTATATTTGCGGCGATTCTTGCACCTTGAGTCCCCACTAATTAGTGGCTAACGTTAATTTCTTTGAGTTGTTGCCGCTGCTTGAGCAAACGAAATCCGGGGCGTATGCTCGTCAACGGGCAATGGAACGACAGCTGATTGGCCAGAAGGAGCTGCCACCAGAAGTTGCCTTAATTAGGAAGCGTTTAACGTTTCGCGCGCTCTTGACTTTTGTCAGGCCTGCAACCCCCCAAGCAGCACTGCTCATATTCTCGTCCTCACACCAGCCAGAGACTCGCTTACAATTAATTAAAAGCCAAGTAGACGACATCCAAAAAGTTGTTGATATTTTGTGGCTTAACTTAAAGAAAGCTGAATAAATTAATTTGGTGATATATAGCTGCAATAGCTAATTACCGAATAAAAGAAAGTAAGCTAACGTATTCCATTTTGACTTAAGCTTGAAGCAAATGAAGATTGTGTATTTGTAGACTTACCTTGAAGAAAGTCCTAGTATTTTACTACTGTGCTCCCAGGGAGAATTGGATTCGGAGTTGATCTTAAAGGCTTGGCATCTAGGTACACTGGAGTATAGCTTCTAGGTCAACTGGTTGTTGCAGAACTGGTTACAGGGTATCTGTTGCTCGTCGTACATACTCGACTAGAAGCACTGTTGTTTTGCATTTTATTTTACTTTTGCTCATTTGTTTTGTTGTATGTTGTTGTTTTTTTTTTTGTTTGTTTTTGAATGTTGTATATGTGTAGAATTTAAATACATTTAAATTTATGCTATGCACTTCGTTCAGCGTTTAAAACATAAAAAATTGCACCGCTCGTTGTTCTGCCTTTCGTGAGAATCGCCAAGCACCTCCTTCATCGGAATCTTCTCTTCTCCGCCTCCCCTTTAGCTGCTGCTTAAGTGCGGAGCTGCTCTTCATTTTAACAAAGCTTATGATTAATTTACAACTCGAGGCTTAACTTTAAAGTTGGCTACGTTTAACTTTAATCTCGCATTTCCTAAGTCATAGACAAGTTCAACTCCTCGCTGCCATTGGACGATGGTGGTCAGAAGATGACCGTTAGCGGTCGGCGGAAGTCGGAGGCGCCACCTGCCCCGCCGCCACCAGCAGCTGCTGCTCCGGCGCCCGCTCCAACATCGACTCCAATGCCAGCGGCGGCACTGGCCAACTGGCCGCCATATTGCTGGGCATATTGGTGAGCATAGTCCAAGCCCACGTCGCTGGGCGAGTGCAGATGCGGCTTGGCCTCCGCTTGCCCGCCCGCCTCTAGCTGGGGCGTGGCATCGCGCTCGTCCAGCCCGCTGCTGCTGTTGTTGTTGTGCGAGCTGCCGCCAGCACTGCCGCCACCCCCACCACTAGCCCCACTGCTGGCCATGAGCAGCTGCTGCTGCTGCTGCTGTTGTTGCTGCTGCTGTTGCTGTTGCTGCTGCTGCTGATGATGTGCCGCCGCGTGCTGCTGTGCGCCGTAGATCTTGGAGATATCGAAGGCATAGTTGGCACGATCCTGATACATCTTCGAGTCGAAGTAGGCCTTGGTCAGCACACTGGGGTCCAGGTAGGCGCTATAGGCACTCGCCTGGCTGCCCGCCGCTGCGGCTGCTGCATTACTCAAATACGAGCTGCGTTCCAATGCTGCAAATTTATCCATCTGTCCGGAGAGTGTCGCCTGAAATGTGACAGAGGAGGTTGAAGAAACGAGTTAGTGAGATGGTATACAATATAATTAATTATTGAGTACGATAAGCCAAATTTAATTGGATTCTGTACACTGAAAAGAATTTCACCAATTCAATTTACAAGGTAAGCTCTATTAACGGACAGCTGACTTGGGTGGAAGTTGCCTTTACTCCGCTATATTCTTTAGTGTCGCTTACTTTTCGATTAAAGTGCAAAGCATTTAGTGCTGAGAACCGCATAGAAAGGCAAGAATCAAAAAGAAACGTGAGAGAATGAAAAAGAAAGAGCAGGACAGAAGGAGAGAATTGCGAAGTAGTAATAGTGGTAGAGTGAAAAATAAAGTACTGTGCAAAATGTATTTTGCACATTTACTTTTTTCTCATTTAATTTTCTTTTAATAATAGGTAGGTGGAATAATTAAGTAACACCTCAAGAAGAGTCTTTGACGTTGTAATCTCGAGAAATCCATTGAATATCAGCAAGGATTATTGTTTTCAAGTATCCCTGACATGCCCGACACCTTTTTTACAAACATTCTTTTAACTATGATATCAATATCTTCAAAATGAGTTGTTCCTGTTGCATAACCAAGCACTGATTTGGGGCATTGGGTGTGAGTTGTAACCCTTGGTTAGTGCAAATTGTTTAACACTTTTGTGGCTTTATTTGACCAACTAATTGTGGATGCGAGTTGAACAACCCCACGCAGCATATAAATAGAAAAACACGTCTCAGTTTAATGTTATTTGATTTGCAATACGTTTCTCATTGCAACACCAGTCGGTTGGTAGGGTTCGGGCTTACGACTGGATCTGGGAATGGGACTTGGCCTCGAACTGGGTTCTTATGAACGGGTGCTAAGTGCGTCAGGGGTTGTTTTGCTTCATATCCGTTTTGTTTTGAGTGGTTGATTCGAGGGGTTGCTCCCCGTTCACAGCGCAGCACTTTGCTCTGGGCTATAATTATGTTGTTAACACATCGTCATCATCATCATCAGCTTCACCAGCAAGAACAACAACAACAACAATAATATCAGCGCCAACTGACGGGGACTCATGCGTTTATCTGTGTGTGTTTTTGGGCCGAAAGCGTTTTGGATTACAATTTGATTTGATTTGATTTGCGCCCAATTGGGAATTAGTGTGGATTGGTAAATATTTTGATGCACGGCGATTTACGCAGAGTTTATGTTTGGATTTCGGGCTGCTCTCAATTGGGCATTATTTCAGCAGTTAATTGATTTGGCTCGGTGGCTTCAAGTGGTTTGAGGCCTCAGTCTGAGCCTGATCCAGTTAAGGTTTCGGCAGGTGAGCAGGGTGAAAATGTCGCAAATGCTGTTTGTATTTGTTCTTTGATTCGTTTTTTTTTTTTCGAAATCAGCTGTGCAAACTCTGCTGGTATATATTAAATAGACACAATCACTTCTATGCCCATGCCGAGCTACCTATTCCAGCCCTTTCGAAAGGCTGACATTGGAATGCGTTTAAACTTGGCCTTTGTTATCTCTGCTCTTTGATGCCAGGCATAATAGTTTCCCGGCAATGTGGAAAGTGAGTTAAGGAAAATAAATGCCATGTTTGCCACCTTCTAATACGCCCACTATGCAATTTTCTTGTACAGATTTCAGTTTGAGGAACGAGAACGCTTGCTGCCTTTAAGGCTGGTGTATTATTATATTTCCACGGCCTGGTCCAGGCATATTATTAACCAAGTAATGCTATTGTTGATGGGTAATGCCAGGCTTTCAACACCCGCAACGCATGTTAAACAGCCGCAGACATCAATCACCGCCTCAAATAGGCAGCCAAGCCTCAGAGTCGGACACGGCTCCAACAATGCCAAGCAACAGTCATGACTTTTAATGGGTTGTTAATAAATACGCATCCAATGCCAGCCAGAGAGTGAGAGAGACACAAAAGATTCCCAAAGGTTGGAGCACTGGGCGGCAACGCCCATTGCCGAGTCTGCTCCATGATTCTGAGGTGCGTGTTGCGCGAAGCCACAAGTTTTAATTGCCAATTTTGTGTATTTTTTTCTTCCATTTAATATTATTATTTTTGGCTGTAACACTACGCAGCTGGGCTCTGAGGATAGTGCCGGAGTACCCCGTTCCATCTTGTGGTAGCACCTGCCCGTTCTGTTTGTTTTTGCGCTCGAGGCCTTGTTATCTCAGCCAGCGATCTGCTCGGCAACTAAATGTGTAATGACAAGTTGTGGCAAATCCTTAGCATGACATGTCAGAACTTAACCAGGATCGAATCGTGATCAGGAAGCGTGTCGCGCTTAGTCACGGCCGCATGTTTGTCCGCCTTTTAAAGTGGGCGTCTGCCCAGGCAGTTTGTAATTATGTTATTAAGGCGACCCGCGTACCGATCGATGTAATTGGACGCGCTACCGTTCAACATTCTGTGATGGACGTACCAGGCACTTGAGCGCTTAACCCCCCGACCCGGACACAGAGCCAGGCTTACAGCTTGAACGGGAACGGACACGGGAACACGGACTGTTTTACTCACCTGCGTTGTCGTTGGCGGCGATGCCTGCGTGAGATGGCTGCCCAGATGATAGGCGGCCGCTGTGGGACCGGGCGCAAAGTAACCCGGCGAGATGCCTGCAAGTGAAGCCAAACAAAGTAAAGTGAGTGAAGCTAACAACAACAGCAGCAAATAAGAAAAAAAAAAAAAAATAAGTTTACAATAATTATGACAATGGTTTTGGGTCTGTTGTGTGTGCTTAAAATAATTGCCACTCGAAATATTTTGCGCCCCCATTGTTCGGTTAACTCTTTCATATATAACATATTTCGGACCTCGTTCTCTATCCCCGTCTGCCTTCGATATAATTGTGCGCTGAATCAGCTATTTTGGCCGCCAGCAGACTGAGAGAGAGAGAGTTATCTCGCCGCATCTGATAGATGGATGCCAAGCAGTTACAACCAATTGCCCTAAACGGTAGTCGTCCAGCTGCCCTCTTGGCCTTTTGTGAACGGGGTCTCGATAATTACAAGCGCCGCTTATTGAAAAATAAATGTATAAAACCCTTTTCATTCATGGCGCCACAGTTTTGAGCTTGTCCAAATTGTTGAATGCTGTGGCAATCAAAATTGCTTAGACAACAATGTTGCAAACATCTTTGGTAGCATCTCAAGTAGCGACATTTCGACATCAATCGACTTGGCATCGTCTTCAATGGTATTGTCTCACATAATAGTGGATTAGTTGCTTAACAAAAACTTAACTGCCAGCTGCGGCTTTATTTATTTATTTATTTTAAATTAACTTGTCTTGTCTGGTAGAACTTTCGTATTGATTGTCGATAATCTCTAGATAACAATTTGTATAGATAAATTTCTTTCGTTTCATTCTAAAATTCAGAGAATAAAATTTCTAAAAAAATATCTATACAAAATTTCAAAAAATTAATTTAATATATTGTTGCTTGTCAGACCTGAACTCTCCACTAAATTTGAAGACTCTTGAGAGGCTATAAACACTTTTGGCCATGATATTTCTTGTATATATGTTGGATGAGTAATAAAAACAAAATAATAATCATAAAAGTTAGTTACAAATTAATAATTACAATGATTATAATCATAAAATGCCAAACTCTTAACCGATTCATTTATGAATATGCAGCCAGTAAATTTCTTCAAAATGTGTTCTTTTAATCCTTTTTTTACTACAAGCTGTTGCATGCTTCAGTTAACACATATGCTGTGCCCCATTCTAACGCATTTTAATCATATTTCGCTGTCCTTGTTTCTCAGAGCCATTTTACGGAGTGCCGTGTGCATTGAAGTGCACGTTAAGCAGGCCGAGGACTAATTCGTTTTATTTATTACGCATTTCCTAGTATTTTTATTATCATTTCCGTTGCGCATAAATCATCGTGAAGGCATTGTCCTTAGCCGGGGGGTGGGTAGGGGAGGTACGGATCCCTTAACCGCCAACGCACTAAATTGCTGCCACATCAGAATAACTGAAGCCAAGAAACTTGCGTTAAATTTGAGGTCCAAATGGGCGAAAAAGACAAAAAACGTGACAAATGCTAATTTAAATCCTCCAACCAGAACAACAACTACGGCCAGAAACTATATGGAACTGCGCCCACTGCCACCCCCTCCGCCCCGTTTGGGAAATCATGAATGTTAACTTATGCTTGTGCTGTGGGTTCGTCCCGTGTGTGTGGCTGTGTATGTGTGTGTCTGTCTGTCCTGTCACTTGAATTGAATTGTTAAGCCAGCATGATGACTTCACAGTTTGTCAGGGCATGCGAACGGGTGGTTCCGGTAACTCTAAGCCCCCACTCCGACGCCATATTGGCCCGGTGGGGAAGGGGCTGTCACAAACAAAAGCCCAACCAGTCAGGCAGTCGAGTGTGCGGATAGTTTGTCATATTTTCATTCAGTTCTATGGTATGCCTGGGTGGGACCATGCCACATATCGTGCCACATTTGCATTTGTCTTGTGGCAAAGCTCATAAAACTCGCCTTTCTACTTTGCATAGCCATTGAGCTCTACTGATTTTAAAGGGTTTACTAATACCTTTTTGCTGTACAATTTAATTGGTTTTCATAATTTGAAATATACTCTTCATTTTGGCTTGAAATTCTCTACAGTTTTCTTTACTTTCTTTACTGCCTACTCAGATTTAAAATATTTTTCTTTCGCTAATCTGAGAAAATCAAAATATTTGTTGTCACTTTTTCGATTACTAACCGATTCGTATTCCAGCTATTATTATTGCCATAAATGAAAGACAGTTCGTAATACTCTTGCATACCTGCACGTAACGCCTCCACTGGCACTGATGGATATGGCATGGGATACGGGTAACCATCGCGTCTCAGAGCTTTGGGCTTGCGTCTAGGTCGATACTTGTAATCGGGATGCTCCTTCATGTGCATGGCCCTGTGCAGATAGAATATGTTGAAGCAAGAGAGAGAGAGAGTTGAGCAGCAGCTGGACTTACCGCAAACGCTTCGCCTCGTCGATAAAGGGACGTTTCTCTTCCTCGGTGAGCAGCTTCCATTCGGCACCTGCAATCGAGACATAGAGCTATATATAATCGGAAAAGTGGTTAATCCATTAGATACTTTACGTTGGGCAGTTGTCAAAATATATGGCAACACAATGAAGCGCTCTCATGGCAACCTGCTCCAGAAGTGGACGCACATAAACATAATTCCTAACAGGCAGGCACACAGACAGACAGACACACACACGCACACACACATGCACACTGTAAACTTGTCTTGTTTGTGTGCTAACAAGAAGGATACCAAATACCAAACAATGTTGTCGTCATTTTCCTCCTCCTGGCACTTCCTTTGCTGCTGCTTCTATCTCTTTCTACTGTCGCTTGGCCATCTTCAGTCTGTCCCTGTCTATGTGGCCACCATTGTTGCCAGTTTTGGCATTGTCATTTGTTAGTGTTGTTGCTGTTGTTGCTGCTGTTGTTTGTCTCCGTTGCCTGTTTGTCAGTTCAGTCAGCTCTGCTCCGTTCAGACGGGCTCTGGCTGGTTAGAGAATGCTGTCGAGTCCTTGCACGATAATGGCCCAAAACCAGCAGGTGGTTTGGGCCCATTTGGGGGCGTGCTTTTGTGCCGCTTACTGTCTCGCTCTCCCGCCCCTAACGTCGAGGGCGGCAAGTTAACTTGCCGTATTTGTGCTGAATGAGTACATGGCATATGCACGTGCCGCACACTCATAAGTGGCAAGTGGCAGGCAGGAGCCTCTTGGTTATATGCTAGTATGTCGACTCTTAGGCAGCTTCTGGGTGCCTCATTGTGTGCAGAAATTGCAAATGTTTTTAAGTTAATGTAAAATCTTATAATGACATGTGTCACAAGGCAGCTGATAAAGTCTAAAGTGAAGAGTTTTCCCCGGCCCCACAAACAGCACTTTACTTATTTGCCCCAAGTAATATATATATAAGTGTGAGTGTCAAGCTGGGAATTATAATATTGTTATTATGAGAGAGAGTGACAAAAGGAGAGAAATAGTAACTGAGTCTAAAACTATTTAGATGAATTTGTCATCAATAACTACTCCATTTGGTCTCATTTGAAATCCCCGCTTTGTATTTGAGATACTCGTACTTCAAGATAATCGTTCCTATTGTCCAAACGGATTGTAAGTAAATTAGTTTAGGGATAAGCCTAACAATGGAAATGGACTTGAGGGAAATGCCCTTAATTAGTTATAACGTGTAATATTAGTAGTTGAAAAGCCCGCATGCACACACACTGTCGCATAAATTGCATTGTTACAATAATAAAGAGACACAATACTAATGAGAAGCTATCTACCAGCCACAGGACATGGCCGGGGTTAGGAAGAAACAGCTGTCAGGCCCACACACACACACTTTCGCATAGACACACAATGTGAGGTAGTCCAACAAAAACTATGACAATAAACTTAACACAAAAGCACAATTGTGCTCAAAGAATAGACATGTGCCCACGCCCACGGCCCCTTCCAATGGCAAGTTGGGGCCACTCACATAAAGCAAGTAGCTGGCTGCCCCTTAACTGGCAGCTGCTGCTAAAATACTAATTTATAGATACATTGACAGCCCGTCCAAGTGGCAACTGGCCATCAAATGCGCAACTCAGCTCCTGTGCTCGACACCTTGTGCTGCATTTAGCTGGGGGCATAGACTTCCAGACAATTCACATAATAATAAACAAGACGAATGAGCGAGCGAGCGAGAGAGAGAGAGCGATTGGGGGGGAGGGAGGGCGTATCAGCAAGCTGAGCAGTTGTATAAACTAAGGAGGGGTGCACTGCTGAGTTGACATGCCACAAAAGGATGACAATCGGACAATGTCTATGTTTGCCCGTTGTCGTCTGGCGCCTTCCCGCACTCCTCAGCCGCAGCCTCAGCCAGACCCTGGGCCTGAGTGGCCAGCTTAATAATTGATATGAAAAACAAGTACAAGTTGCACATGACAGTTGCCAAGATGTGTGGCAGCCAGTTGAGCTGGCTCAAGCATAATTAACAACTTTTTACCCCAACAGCCTGAAGTAACACCGGAAAATGTCGGATGCTAACCACAGAGCAAATATTTAACAGACGCCGGCTCCAGTTGCAGTTTGTAGTTCACACAGCCCACAATTGGGGCTGCGACTTATCTATCCCAGTTCTAGCCTCTCCAAGGCTGCCCAGGGGTGAGCGGGTAGGTGTGAAGGGGAATGCGGCTAGTTTTGGGACACTTCACACATCACACACAATTGGGCTACTTATGGGATTATGGAGTCTGGACTTGAACTCTTGGGTTCTGTTGACTGAGAGCCAGGCGTGGCGCCCACTCGACCGTTTGCTCCCAGCCCGAGCTCATAATTTGACCAAAGATTGAACTGTTTGCTCTGCAATTTAACGCAATAGCTGGATAAGCGCTAACATTTTCCGTGTGTATGTAACACAGTTTATGGAGGGTAAAGAATATATGTAAATATTGTGTGTTGTGAGTACATGGGATAACAAGAAATCTTGTATCAAGTTCGATTCAAGCACTAAGATTTTGACCGATTGTTCCTTTAGCAGTGCCTGCAATTTTGGATAGTCCCTAACTCGGATACTTCAATTCAATACATTACAGCTGATAGAGCCATATTTGCTCGGCAATCCCTGCTTCTTCCTAACAACTTTAGTTTCCAGCACTTGATCCTAGTGGATAAGACCCGCAAGTTCACCCAACAAAACAGAATTGTAGATTCTCTACTGGCTGAAGCACAGGTGAGTTTGGAGACAGCGTAGTCCACGCAGCTTCTTTTAACGAGGCGTCTTCGGCAAGTGCCTTTTTCTGCCGAGTTAATCTATTATATTTTTGTTAGCTGAGGAAATGGGCTGCTGCGTTTTCCCGTTGACAAACTGAAGACACTTGCTGAGTGTTATAGCGAGGGTTCTTAAGGGTTTCTCTCTTCTAATTATAGAATCGTTTTTTTGATGGTTCTCGTTTTGATTGAGCGTGTTGTAATTAAGAGCTGAAAACCGCCCACAGTCTGGCAATCCATCCGACCGTCTCACACACCTGTCAATTGCCATGGCAGAGCTTCGAGTTGGAAACGTTGCCTTTTCCCCCAATTGCAAACTAATCAATTGTTTGCGCTTTATTGTGCAACAAAAGGACTTCTCTGGGTTGGGCCAAAGGCTTGAGAGCTCGACCTTTTGTGTTGGCAGTCGCAATGGAAAGTCGCAATCGAATCCAAGTCGAAGTCTTTCCCATTGTTCGAGACCCGTCAGTCAGCATCCAGGCATCCATGCATCCATCTCTCGGGGGGCTTTGTTTAACATTATTTAATATTCCCGCAGGAGCTATGCCGAGTTTTGATTAAAAAATGAAGGCGATTGCCGATTCGACAGGTTTTTCAATTATTTTCAAAACAATTTTCCATTCAATACGGGCAAAAGCAAAAAAAAAATTACTGCCATTTTGTTGATGTCGTTTGCCACCGTTTTCGCTGTTGTTGCAATTGCTGTTATTGTTGCTGTCGCGTATTGTTTGTTTTGTTGTTAATTTAAATTTCCAGACAGTAATTAATGACAGTTACAATTTCAATTAAGCCCGCGCGCAAAAAAAAAAAATTCTTTTCTATATAACACATATTTTTTATTTTATTTTATTTCTATTTGTTGTTGTTGCTGTTGTTGTTTTTGTTTGCCTTTTGTTTTGCATAATAAAATAAATGGCAACGCCGACGCCGACGGCGACGTCTGAAGAGCTCTCCACAGTTGCCATTCGCCAGTTGCCAGTTACCGTTACTCAACGCCCGACGCTCTTTAGCACTGCCTTTCGCATTGTATCTGTGTGTGTGTGTGTGTGTGTGTGTGCATTGAAAAAGTAGCTTTCGCGCCGCCATTTTTTGTGGCGCCTTTGTTGCTGCCACAGTTTTTTGTTTGCCGCCTTTTCTCTGCGCAATTTTTCATAATGAGCCCTTTTTTGTGGTATTTATTTTATTTCATTTAATTGAATGCCAGGGCAAACTTTTCAAGTGCAAAACTTTGTCATTTGTGTAGATGTGGCAAATGGTTTATTTTATTTTATTTTGACAGAGTTGCCACCTTGTTGCTCAGAAGCTTAAAAATTTGCTATAAAAAAGTTGGCGTTTTAAATTCTTCAGAGCACTGTCAACTGTCAATTTCAGTATGTTGTTGGAATCGTACCGTTTTTTCCTATTTCCTCGTTATCTTAAGCGAGTTACCTACATCTTGAGCCTCCTTGTGGCACACTCTGCTCAGCGGCTCATTCAGCTCACAATGGCCAGCCGGCGTCTTTTTCCGTATTCCCTGCTCAAAAATACAAAACTCAACAAAAGCTGCAACTGACAGCAAATATTACACAGAACTGTCAATTGACATAATGGATTTGCCAAAATACAACAACATCAACAACAACAACAGCAACAAGGTGAAATGAAATGGGAACAAAAGCTCACGCCTTCCCACAAAATCTGAGCCCACCCAAAAACTCAAGTTTTGCTGTGGAGTGTACGTATTGTGCTCAAATTGTTGTTGTTGCGCATCGATTTTCATATATTGGTTCGGTCTGCTACTTGAACTTTGGCAGGCAGCGTTCCCTGAAAACCGATTTCAAGGCAGCCAGTTGCCTGATTAAGAAATGCCTTTAATGGCTGTGAAAACAGCGCCACTCGCTTGCAACAACCCTTATTGCCTGGCTAAGTCCTAAGCAACTACAAGGTAGATGCGATCCAGTTGCAGAATATTTGGAATCCTTCAAAGTTATATTCCAAATTTTTTTATACTGTGCACATTTGGGCATTACGAACTTGATATGTTACTCATTGATGACATAATTTCAATATTTTGGTTATATATTGTTTCACAATTGTGAAGGAGCACGAGTTGATTCATCTCGGCTCGCTCGGACAGTTAACGTGGTATCTTCTAGTCGATTACTGCCAAAATATATTTATACTTGTCGGCTACTACTCCAAACCCCCTCTCTTGGGTGCTGCTGCCCTTGTTCAAGTGCAGCGAGTTTGCCTTTTGTTGTTGTTGTTGTTGTTGCCGCGCTCAACTGCGCTGCAAGTGAGTCGCGTTTAATTTGCATTGTTTTTGCTTAAACAAAGGTAAAAAAGAAAAAGTCATTTTACAAGTGCTTCAGTGGCGGGAACTCAATAGAGGGAGGTGAAAACTTTGCGTGGAATCGGAAGCCCCGTTGAGTTGTTATTAAAAGTAAAGAAAAAAAAACTGCACAAAATGGCTGCCCCCAAAGTTCTGTGGCATCAACTTTGCGCCTGTTATCGATGAGGGACGCCTTTTGGGCTTATTGTTATCGCTGTTATGACAGTATTTTTTTGAGGTCCTGATTAGTGCAAGGAGCCGCAGCGCGTTGTCTTCTTCTTCACGAAGTGCTGCTGCTGCTGCTGCTCCAGACTCATCCAATATGCATGAGTTGGCCGAAAGGTAGCTGCGTTGCCTGTTGCCCCATTGTTATGCTAAAGATTTCTGCTGTCACTTGCCACGTGCCTCATGGGCTGCCAGGCTAGCTGGCTGTCTGGCTGCGTGTGTGATTGAAATTGAATTTGATGCGAATTGGAAACCAAAATCTAGCATCCCGAACCCAGAGCCCAGATAAGGTTTGCTGCTTGTGCGTGGGATTAGCCGCCGCCCCACCCCAAATAAACTACTTAACTTTGCAACTAGTTAAGCGGCGAGACAATGCGCCAGGAGGCAGGCGGCGATGATTCGCCAGGAGTCTTAGTTGGCATGTGCTGTGGTGGGGGTGGGTGTGGTTGGCTGCAGGCAACCCTTCTCTGGCACATATACGAGCATAATCAACAGCTTCCTTGGCTCGATCTGCTCTTCCTGCTATTGTTTGACAGCCGCTTGTCAGTTTTGACAGTTGCGTTGAGTGCGCGCAACGGACGAGTTTTTGGTTTGTCATTGTCATGAATCGAATATGGAGTGGGTGGAAAAGGGTGGGGGAGAAATACCAGCCGGTATTACGTTGATTAGTTTAAGTTGCATAAGTAGGCGCGAGAAAGAGAGTGAACGATGTTCAGGGTGTGAGTGAGTGGGCGCGAGAGATTGGCAGGTCGTGTGCCGCCTCTTAATTTAGTTTTGTGTGAGATTTGTTCATTGTCTTCAGATTACAAACATACTACGAGTGTTTGTATATAAAGCCACGGCTCTTACCCATTGTGGTTCGTTCAAAAAAAAAAAGAAGAGATTAAATTGCATGCATTTCAAAAACAACTTGGCATCCAGCTGAGCTGCTCGCGTGTTCTTGAGACTTATAATTCAACTTTTGAACAGCTAATAACAATGAGATTTTCTTGTTTTTTTCAGATATAGACTTTGTATATATAGCAAGCCGATTCGAGTTCGGAAATCAAATTTAACTTTTACTAAAACAGTTTTGCAAAAACATGGTCTTTAAATAAAAACTATTAAGGGAGATCTGGCACCAAAGTAGAGACAAACTTGGCACCAATTCATCTAATCATTTTAGTTAGATGCCCATTTTGGGTAAAGGTCAAATGTAGCCCGCATTTTGTATATGAAAATATGTGAGGATTGCACTATTCTCTGAACAATGGGCAATTTAATTAAATTGCATAATTAACATTTAGAAAATATATGTGAATCGAACCACCGACCTTTCTATTCAGTTTACAGCCTTTAAATATCTAATTATCTACTCTTTAAAACCGAACTGATTTCTACAAGTTGAGCTTGTTCAAAGTAAACATTTAACTTACCCAGCCTTTTGGATATCTCGGAATTGTGCATTTTGGGATTATCCTGAGCAATTTTGCGTCGCTGTAGGCGTGACCAGACCATAAAAGCATTCATTGGACGTTTTATGTGCTCCTCGTTCTGGCGTTTCGTTGTGTTCTGTATCATCAGGCTGAAGAAGACGTCGCTGTAAATGGATGCAAGAGTCGCTATTAAAAGGAGGCCTTCGAGAATATGCGATATTAAAGAGCTAATGAATCTTACCTGGCGCTGCTGCCACTGTTCATGAGGCTGCCCATATTCTGGTGCAGATTGCTAATGGGCGACGCCTGCGAATTGTGGTGCAGATGAGCGGCGGCGGCGGCTGCCATGACGCTGCTTGAGGTGCTGGACGTGGACGTGTAGTGCACGGGCGCACTAGAACTGGAGCTGGCGAGGCCGTGACCCGCGCTACCCGACAGATGCTGGCCAATGCCGTTGCTGTGCGATGTCTGGTGCGGCTGCGTCTGTGCCTGGCTGTGTATGGAGCCCGCGCCGGAGCCAGCCGTCTGGCTATGATGCGAGCCTGTCGAGTGCGGCTGCTGGTGTTGCTGCTGTGCAGCCGCGGCTGTTGCTGCCGCTGCTGCTGCTGCTTGATGATGCTGATGCAGTTGCGAGTGCTGGGAGCTCAGGTGATGAGCTGCCGCTGCAGCGGCCGCCGAATGATGCAGATGCGGATGCAGACTCAGCGCGGAGCTGCCGTTGCCGTTGGGGGAGCCGCCGCTGCTGTTGCTGTTGCACTGATGGTGATGATGCTGCTGGCCCAGTTGACCCAGCGACAGTTGCTGCTGGCTATGATGATGGGCGTGACTGTGGGCGTGGCTCTGTTCACTGGTATGTTGTTGTTGTTGCTGCTGCTGCTGCTGTTGTTGCTGCTGTTGCTGCTGCTGTTGCTGCTGCTGTTGCTGATGATGCTGTATCAATTGGCCGAGATGCGTGCCACTGCTGGAGCTCACCGAGCTTAAATGACCCTGCAATGGATGTGCGAGCGATAATCCAGAGAGCGACAAGTGCGTGGATAAGCGTTCCATCATTTTGTTGACGGAGCTGCAGTCGAATTGCTGCTGGCTCTAGGCCGGGATTGTGTGGTTGCCGGTGTGGTGTCAGTGGTTAAGGTGCTTTGAAGAGTAGAAGTCGAGCTGTTGACAGAATTAATTAATGCTAGCATGTATTCAATTAAAATATATACACATATTTGAAATGCACAAAATCCAGCCCGTTGAAGTTCTTTGCCTTATTAATGCTCTTGGGCTTTTGTTAATCAATTAGCTAATTGATTTGGGCTTTTAAAAGTGTGTCGCCTGTCGCCCGTACAACAAACTCCACGCCAGGCCGTATCCCCCTGCCAGACAGCGAAAACAATGGAACTGCCCCAGAGGCACTTGCTAAAGCAGGGCCAGCGGTCGCCACCTCAATTCCGAGATTCCAGCTGAATGAAATCTTTTCTCTCCAAACTCTTTATACGGCTGAATGTCAACCCTTAAAAGGACGGGCTGCACACGCCGGCGACGGCGTCCACAAACATACTGGATACGTCCTGTTCATTATGCATCTGGGCACTTGAAAACCCATTTCTTTTCAGTTTTCTGCCCGTTTTTCTTTTTTTTTTTTTTTTTGGGCACCCAACACAGGTCAGGTCAATGCCGTTGATAGGTTTCAATTCCTCAGTCTTTCAATTTCAATTCACATGTGCGTGCATTATAATCGGGATTTATGTGGTCCACTTGATGCCCAAGCCAAGTGTGGCTTGTTCGCATTAATGTGTTAAATACACACCACAAATACAGACACACACTCACGCACATACACATATGTTGTAGTTGAAAAAGGGTTCCCAGTTCATGGTCAAGAAGCAGATCCCAGCCAGCGTCCGTCTAAACGCTTTCAATTTGCTTAATGGTGCAGTAATGACGACGACGAGGACGACGCTTCGAATCTGGACAACAATTGAGTTGGGCGTGCGGAAGACATTCGAGCACATATATGAGCACCATTTGCGTCCGTATGCTCTGCATATATGGAATGCTCTTTAATGCTCGACAAATGTGTCATCTGCACTTCATATTTGCATAGCTAGGGTACTTTACGTCTGGATTTGACTGAACATTTTACCTTACATCTAAGAAAAATGGCACATTTTCCATTTAAATATAAAGTATGCCGTCATTTACTTTATCCGTTTGCGAATTTATTCAGTCTCTTAATTTTTGGCTGGCACCATTGAAACTGCTCTCCAGTCGGTTATCCTTGTCGCCTACCGCTTTCGTGTCCATAATTCTCTTGTGTCCTACGACAACTGCGACATCTGCACTGCTTCCGGGCATTACCCACTTGGTGTTAAAGTAAAAATTGCCCAGGCATGCGTATTAAGCATGAAATTTATTAAATGCAAAAAAAAAACAGAAAGATAAAGTATAAAAATGAAGGGTTCGCAAGAGAAACAACAACCTGCCAGAGGGAAGGGGGGAGCCAAAAGGGACACGCATATTTTTGTAATCCTTATGGAGTGCAAACAAATTTCTGTGTGTTGTCAAGCTGGTCTGGATCGCAAAGTGTTTGGGGTAGCGTCGAGTTGTGGCCAAATGTGGTGCACGCTTGGAGCTGGCAGCGCACCACAGGCCACCGCCAGCACACCGGTTGCACCACCAGCTGTGCACAAATTGCACTCCAGATATTTTTATTTGCTGTGAATATCAGCGGCTACCAGACGGCCCAGACCCTAATGCTGCCCACTCCTTGCTTGACTAACGGAAAATCGTTCGCTTAATGTAAAAGTTGTATAACAAATTATCAATCAATATATAGACAGAGAGAGAGAGAGAGAGAGAGCGAGAGGGCGTGGGCTGCTGAGGTTCTAATCCTATGGCCCTTCGTCTGTCTGAAGTGCTCTGTTTTTCCCTTTTGCGCTAATCCAGTAACACCAGTAAAAGCGTTAATAGATATCGGCCAAGTTATTTATGGGCAATGCAATGCGGCTGCCATCGTCTACGCTTCTCTCTTTGTCATGCAAATCTCTGCCGGCGATGCCTCGACGCAGTAGGAGTAAATTACCACGCCGGTCACATAAGCAAATACTTATACCGCGTGGTAAGAGCTCAGGTAGGGTATGCACTTACAAGGCAACCAGATCTACCTGACAAGGTATTTGATTATTAACAGCATAAGCATGTCGAAATGATAAAAATGATTGCCATCCCATCTTATATAATACATTTAATTAATGTGTAAATGTTTTGTCAAGTTACAGGGTATCACATAGCTGGGCACTGTCAACTTGAAAAGCATTCCCACTTGTTACCTGTGCTACCCGTTGTCGTTGCCAGACTCGGACTCGGACACTTGCAGACTGACTGACTGCGACTGGGCAGCTGGGCAGCCGGGCAGCCGGGCAGACGGGCAGTCGGGCGGTCGGGCAGACGGGCTGCCGGGCAGTTTGGAGCCCCTGTCTTGCTTCTCGTTCATTTGTTCATCCGTTTGTTGCAGTGTCAAACAAGAATTATGATCGGCTTAGCCACATGCTGAGCCTGTGCATGGGCCCAGAGGCAGCTTCAGCTCTCTGGAGTGGCAGTTAGGCGCAAGAATCGAGAATCAAGAATCAAGAATCGAGAATCGAGAGTCGAGAGACGCGAGTCGAGAATCTCAATTCAATACAGGTAGAGCTTTAAGTGTCTCCACTTTGTGTTGAAATGTATCGTTCCGCTTCTACTTATGCTGGGAGCCGTCTCCGTTGTTCCAATCCCTTTTTCATTCCATGCTCCATTCCAGACTCCATTGAAAAGTGTCTCTTGGGCACACGCTGTGATTGTGATCCGTAGCCCTAAGCCGCTGGGGCCCCCTAATGTTTGTAATTAAGAACTTTCACACTCGCAACAATCGCATCGTAAATGTATCTCTTGGTTTAGTGTCAAGTTCGTGCCAAGGGCAAATCCCAAAACTCAACGGAAGAAAACAACCCATGTGAATACGAATATGGATATTAATTAGAATGCCCCAAACTCTTTGTCGCTTGTTTCTGTAACGGAGCTGTGCGAATATCTGCAGCCCCATCATATATGTATATACCTATACCAGATGTTGGACCTCTATTTGGCTTCAATTGTACACACTGTTAGATTACCATTGTTCCCCGAGCCGCAAAATATGCGGCCACCTTTGTGTGCTGACAAAACTGTATTTGCACAATTGTATTTGGTCTTCAGATCAGCATTTCGCAGTTGTGCCTGCTATCATACTAACTAGTTCAACTTAGAATAGACTCTGGGCACGGTTCTCAATTGGAAGTCACGTCTCCAAATCGTTTATTTGTTCATTATGTATAAGTGTACACTGAGCGAATTGCGTCATTTCTGGCATAACTGACCTCTATTAGGGGTAATACTTTGAGTTGGCCAATGAAGCACATTTGCCTAATTGAGCTTGTAATGGAAGCAATGTTAAGATACGTAATTTGGAAAGAATCTCTGTCTTTTCTTTGAAGCATATTAAATGAAAGTCAAGTAGATATTTTTTCTGTATCTAAAGCCTTATCCATTCGGCTGCGTTTGGTTTCTGCTAATATTATTTCTTGTTTTTATTGGTTTCACATTCCAACAAATTGAACGCAGAAAAACAATAAAAGAACCGAGCATCTTATGAAGGATGCGATTGTTGAAAAACTGAAAGCAAGAATCGACACGAGCGAAACGAACTCATAAAGATTCCGACAATAATGATTCGGCACAAACTGAATGATTATCCAAATTCAAATGTTTGCGTCCAGAAAACTGATCCAAAGATCGCAGATTTGAATTTCACTTTATGAGACATCATTTTGTTATTCAATTTTGAGATTTCTCAAAAATTTAAAGCACATTTGTATCTATTGAATATATTAAGTTAATGAATCTAGAATTCAAATTCAGTACTTTGTTGTCTTTAACCTTTAGTTACCTATCATAGAGTAACATGAAGTTAATTTTAAGGCTTACCTTGAATGGCGCTGCATTGCCTTTGTATTTGCTGTGCAGTGATCGGAATCGAATATAGTATACCCAGGTGTATTCTATATAATACTTAAATAATTTAGATGTGTGTGTTGTTGTTGGCTGCTTAAGCGGTTTGTTGGCTTGAATTCCATAAACGGTTGAGTTTTGTATAATTTGTGATCAATTTACGAGAGACATTTACGAGCTAAACCAAAACTGAGCTGAAGATTGGAAGCTTTGTGTCTGATTCAGTATTTATATTTATGTATGTTTGTCGCTGTTTGTTTTGCACATTACATGTTGGATATCACTAGTTTATGTTTATTTATCTTTGTTTATTTGCTTAAGCGGGCATTTTGAGCGCGCCTTTCATTCATCTATTTATTCATTGGGCTTGGGTACGAAGCTTGCTTAACGTTTTTGTTGTTTGTTATTGTTTAACAACGAAATAAGTAGCTTATGCTTCAGATTTCACGACTTTACGAACAATATTGGTATTGAAATTCTTGATGTTTGTTTTATTGAGCACTGTGCGTTAAGGTTTATGTATGCCCAATTGGAAACTGGGGCGTTATCGAAGGCATTTGATATTATACAACACTGGAAAGTAGCCGTTCTTTTTTTTTTGTTATGGTATTTGCATTTGTAATGTTTGTTGGTCAGCTAACCGTCGCTTAAGCGTTTCGTTAAGTTGATGCAACGAGAAACATGCAACTGGCAACTGCAACGCGACAAAACAACAAATTTTGCTTATGATCACACAACGTTTTTCCGGTCTGTCTCTTGTTGTTGTGTTTGTTGTTGTTATTCAACTATGGATTAAAACTAAGGCCGTCGCTGCTGTTGCTGCTGCTGCTGCGGCTGCTATTGCGACTTCTAAGCGCTGCCTCTGGCTTGGCGGCTATTCAACGGATCCGTTCCGACGCGTAACTAAAAACTTGGCGCGCGCTCTCACACGAGCCACAGACGAACGAGTCGCACGGACTTGTCACTTTTGGGGGGTTGGCTGCAGCGACTGCGGCAGAGGCCAGAAAACCAACAAAAACAACATACACACATGCATACACGGACCCAAGACACAC